GTCTCGAAAGAAGGAGCGGGAAGCCCCCGAGTCAAGGGTAAAGGTGTGAGAGGCCGGAGCCGACGCGGTACCTGAGAGAGCAGACTCACCCGTACCTGAGGAAGCAGACTCAGTAGCACCTAGAGCAGCAGCCGCACCTGTACCTGGAGCAGGAGACACACTAGCACCCAGAGCAGCAGCCTCACCAGCAGCTAGAGCAGCAGGCTCTATACCCGGGTCAGGCGGTACGCACAGGTGACCGGCACGGTCAGCACTAGTAGACAATGCATACATGGCAGTGAGAATAGCATCATAGTCAAGAGCAAATATATCTACCCTCTCCCTAAGCAACTCCACCCAGTCGGGGAGCTCAGCCTCGTCGCCAAACTCGGTACGCCAGGCGTCGCTCAGACGGGCGAAGCAGCGGGACGGTGTGTGACTAGGCGTCCTACAAGGCTGACCAGTCCGAGCACCAGTGCGAATCACGTAAGAGCAGGGAACAGAACTGAGAGACCCTCTACTGTGAGCGTACCACTCACGAAGCTGCTGGGGCGTGAGAGACGCTCGTGGTGGTCGCTGGAGCTGCATCTGGCCACCGCCAGTGGTAGTAGCAGTAGTAGCGCCACCACCCCTACAACCCCAACCAGCGTACCACTCACGCAGCTGCTGGGGCGTGAGGGACCCACGCGGACGTCGCTGGGGCTGCATCTGGCTCCGCCAGTAGAAGCAGGAGCAGGAGTAGCAGCAGTAAGGCAGGCAGCCAAGCAAGCGGCAGGCAGCGCGCTAGTAAGGCAGAGGCTCACCTGTGGTGGGAAGAGCAGGCTCCATGACTCGGCGACTCGGCGACTCGGCGGTGCGGGTGGCTCGAGCGGCTCGGCGGCACGGCGGCACTGTAGTAACTGCGGCTCGGCGGCTCGGGCGACTCGGGCGGCTCGGCGGCTCGGGCGACTCGGGCGGCTCGGCGGCTCGGGCGGCTCAGCGGTAGTGCGGCTCGGCAGCATTTGCAGCTCGGCGTCTCGGCGACCCGGCGGCTCGGGCGGCTGAGGTGGCGCTGCGGGTGGCTCGGCACTAGCTCGGCGGCGCCGGCGGCTCGGTGGTGACGGCGGGGCCGCTTGGGGACGGCGGCGGGGCCGGGTGGAGCGGCGACGGGGCCAACTGGGGCCGCAGGGTAGGCGACCGTGCCAGCAGAGGCGGCGCCGGGGCCGGGAAGGGCGGCGCCGGGGCCGGGGAGGTATGCGACGGGGCCGGGAAGGGCGGCGTCGGGGCAGGGAAGGGCGGCGTCGGGGCCAGCAGAGGTGGCGCCGGGGCCGGGAAGGGCAGCGTCGGGGCCGCAGGGGTAGGCGACGGGGCCAGCAGAGGCGGGGCCGGGTCGGGAAGAGCAGCGTCGGGGTCGCCGGGGTAGGCGACGGGGCCAGCCGAGGTGGCGCCGATGCAGGGAAGGGCCGAGCCGGGGCTGCAGGGGCAGGCGACGGGGCCAGCAGGGCGGCGGATCGGGGCCGCGAGGGCAGCGCGACGCGGTCGCTAGGGCAGCGCGATGGGGTAGCGGGGCCGCGCGCCTCGGGGCGCGCGCCAGAAAGAAAATCGCCGCGTGCAGGTCGCACGCCACGGGGCGTGCAACAGATCGAGTAGCAGCGGAAGCAGTAGTAGGGCCCTAGGAACAGTTCCCACGAGGGAACCTGCTCGACACCATGAGAAAACTGAAACGAGAATGAATGAACTATGAACGAACTGAGTACAAGTACTAACCCTAATTGGGTTGTACCCCTTATGGGCTACCCCACTATAGCCTACACAATAAGCACAAGCTATATGTTCTGACACAGACCCGCTCATCTGGTGTAGTGCTGCTACTTGCGTTGTCCACGACAGGCGACTCCTGGCGCGCTTCACCACGCGCCTGGTGTAGTTCGGCATTTTCCTTCCGTAGACGCTCCATCTCTGCAGTCATACCCTGCAAGTTGGCCTGCATCGCACGGAACTGTTGCATGAACTCGTTTAACTCGGCCTGCTCCATGTGCCTCAGGCTTCGTCGAACGGGCAGGGGGTGGCTCGCGATTTTTCTGACTTCGGTGAAGGCGTTAATGCTATCGTAGTCGGAGTGGAATAATCAGATCTATTCCACAGGCTTATCGCTTAACAGCCCACCAAGTCTATCGCTCCCCTTCTACAAACTACCCCGGAAACGCGAGGGTAACTTAGGACTTTAGGCTCTGATACCAAGTCTTATAAGTTGTGAAAGGAAAGAGTGCGCAGAACTCAATAGTGCGGAAGTGATTACAACGTCTCAATGGACAACGAGGCCTAGGCATAATATAGCAAGGTTAGCTAGGCTGAGGTCGCGGGGTCGCGGGATGGTTGGGTGTAGGTTCGGGGTTGGAAAACCCGAAAGCGACGCGGTGGTGGCTCGGAAGGCGAGGTCGGCGGGCCGAGCCTGGTTTTCCGAAAGTCGGAGTTGTACGCGTACAGTGTGACCCAGTAAGGAATCCGGAAAATTCCTTACATTTACCATATATTATTATACTTAGCTTAACCGCATCTACTAGCCCACGTTCATATGGTGGTGGCCAGAGGCTTACTAGAGAGGACTTGCCAAGAGTGTCTGGGCACGTGACTAGCAGCCAATGGTGAGTTTCCAGCATGCCCAACCAATTTGTGGTTCCGAGTGGATAAGGGCGCGTGTGTTCTTGCCGAACCTGACTGAAAGTTCGAACTTTTTTAACGGTTTGTCACGGTAGAATACAATAAAAACTATTTGTCACGGTGCAAAACGGTTTGAGTTCGAACTTTGTCAGGTTCGGCAAGAACACACGCGCCCTAACGTACCCATCTCAAGTGGGTCAACCGTTTTTGTGGAGGAGTGGCTTTTCAGTTTGCCCTGTCAAGGTTCAAATGGTGTCAGAGAGCTGTCCGTCCTGACGAGGGCCACATATGATTGGCGGGTACATAGAGCGCGGCAGCGGGAAGTGTTGTGAATCACCTATGACACAAGAGAACCACTGTTTCGATTTTCCCTAGCACCGTGAGATTCGCTATAGACAACCGAAGATGACCGTTGGCATCGACTCTGGTAGTACACCAACACCTTCCGCGAATCCCGGCACCTGCATGGGGCGGGACATTTCTCGCTCCTGACCCAACCGCAACAATTTCGGAACTCAGGCGCCCCGGCAGCCTGGAGTGCATCCTGACAATCTCCAGGCCTGTGATCAAGTGCGATGTCAGTCCATGCAGTTTGGCATATGCCAAAATGCGGCCATTATCTCTGATACTCAAATTTTGCCTGGGCGCGTTCTCAGGTGTAATCACCAACAGAATCATGGTTTCGCGATAAAGTAGGAAGCTTTTCTGGCTCAGATCTATATACAGTCACTCAAAAAAATTGCAGCGATTGAAAAATATATACATATATAACCCGTAGCGAACCTAAATGATTTCCGGGAAGGATCAACCCTAGATACCGAAAGCCGCCCAATATTTTGGAAAACATATTGCAACCCACTTGACAAAAAAAAAACCCAATCGGAAAGGGATGCGACTCGGGAGGCATCAAACCTAAAAACAGTTTCCATTCCCGTGTTTAGGGTTGACCCCTCTCGAAAATGCATCCAGGTTCCCTAGGGGTTTTTTTTTTCTGCCATGCCCGAATAGTTCTCGGTAGCGTCGTCTAGTGCTTTCGGTAGCTTTGTTTAGAGGTCGGTTGCGCTACTGAGCACCACCAAGTGAATTATATGGGCTTCATTCTCTTACTACCTAAATTTCCTTTCTTATATCCAAGTCGGGAGGGTAAACTGGATGGTTCTGTTTTTGTCACTTCCTAATAATTTCTACCAGTGTAAACAATGTGACAATAACGCGACGAATAATCAATGTTGAGAAAGTCCAGGTTGATTACACCTGAGAACGCGCTCAGGAAAAAACTGAGTATTGGAGATAATGGCCGTGCCAAGATGGGAGCGAGCAGGCATGGAAAAGCAAAAACTGTTGTTTCCAAGGGGCCTGATGTGTACTTTTAGCAGAGGCGTACAGAAAGCCGTGACCGTCAGATTCAAGCGTACAGCTCGATGAGCGGACCAGATGTGCCCGATGAACGGACTCGATGAAGAGCTGCGAGGAGATTCCTGATAGAATTTCAGTAGTCATTGCTGGATGCCTGCCATTTCTGTTGCAGCTGTGGCTGCGGCAGGGCTCTGGCAATACAGGATCTGCTTGAATACCCGCGAGATGACTTATTTGCTTTTGCCTCCCATGTCCTCCGTTGCTCGACGGCTGGCGTTGAAACACTTTTCAGCCTTCCGTGGCTCACATTCAGTTCTACAACCAGATTTCTGGGCTCACAATCCGGCTACAGGCCGGATTCACCGCAAACAGACATAGATTTTTCAGGCACGCCTTCGTAATACGATAGTGAGATACGTACTTGAGCGAGAAGTCGTGCTTAGTACAAGAGTAGTGGAATTGTATCCGTGGCGGAGCCATCACCATCTATCCTTACGTGCACTGAAATGAACGAAGTTGAAACGCAGATGGTTCACGTCAACGATTATGCTCGTATGACCTCGTCGACGAGTGACGCAACACTTGATCCGGTGTCGCTCACAGGAGCCATGTGTTCAAATGCTTCTGGAGTTTCCTCGTTTCACACAATCGAGCCGCAGGAAATCCACGACGCGATGCTTCGTCAGGATACTACGCTAGCAGCTGAAAGAGATCCAGCAGTTGCAGAAGCTGTAGCAAACGATCAAGATGGGACTGCCTTAATAGATTCTGGAGAGCTCAGACAACCCGACGATAATCGAGACGCTTGTATGGAGTCAAACGAGGCCGTAAATCAGGATCAGACGGTAATTGAGCATGATAAGATGGACGTGGATGCGATACCACCGCCAATTGACCAAGATCAGACTTTATCGAAGGAAGTTCATGAAGCCAAAGGCACTCAACATACGGCGACGGACCAGGAGATTCATGAAGCTCCGACCGACCAAGATATTCATGAAGTCCCTGACCATAAAGACGGCGACATGGAAACGTCCGGCTCTAAGGGAGAGGTGAAAACGGAGCGGTGCAATGAGGCGGAAGCGTCAGCGGTGATAGAAGCCGCAGGAGCCGCGGCGACTGATGGTACAGAATTTACGGCGAAAGTTGCAGGAGACGCACCGATTGAAGCTACAGCAGCCGTGGCGAGTAAATTCGCAGGAGACGCGGCGATTGAAGCAGCAGAAAAAGCGGAAATCAAAGTCGAAAGTGGGCCGGTTGACCATGTGGAGAGACGAGTGGAAGAAACGTCAGTTCCGGCTGGTGAAGCGAGCGAGGATGTGAAGATGGAAGACGTAAACGTCGCGGGCCACGGCAGCAACGATGCGACTGATGTCAGCAACCTTGCGACTGAGGCCAGCCAAGGTGCAACTGACGGCAGCAACGACGCGAACAAGGATGACGGCACTGGCGATGTCGGCGCTGCGAGCGACAAGGATGGCGACACTGCGAAGGATGACGCCGAGGCGAGGTCTGCAAATCCCGCAATGGATGACGACAGCGCCGCTAATTGCAGCTCCCCTCGGGCGACGTCACCAAGGGCTAACGACGCTTCGGCGATGTCGCCTCCTAGAGACCCCGCAGTCGCCGCGCTAGGCGTTGAGACCAACGGCGACACGCCTCCGCCGTCAAAGCCTGGTGCCGGCACGCCGAGCTTCTCCGTGGGGACGCCGTCAGTTGCGGCGGATACTCCGCGGCAGAAGAATATTAGTCCGGACAGCCAGTCCAGCCTGGTCGATCCAGGCCTGGTCGCAGGTAAGAGACCCCACTCTCTCTAAATGAATATTCAATGTTTTGTTACGATGTAATACGTCATCGCCGTGGTGAACTTCGATGTTGCTGCTGTTGTAGTGGTTGTAGGTATAAGGACCATCACTGACTTGCATATCTCTCTGCTTACCGTTCACCGTGCAGATGAGAACGCGGCGCCGTTCACCATCAGCCAATGGCAGCAGCTGGAGCAGCAAGCGCTCATTTCAAGTACCTCGTCTCCGGCGCCGCCGTCCCTCCTGAACTCATCGACTCGCTCTATTCCACCTCGGACTCGCCTCGCCAATCACCCGACGGCCCTGGTACGGTGTTGAATCACCTTAACTTTTCCGGGCCGATATGGCCATCGGTTGGGCTTGTAACGGGAATGACAGAAACGCGTATCGTTGCTCTGTGCAGCGTCGTGGGCCACGCCGCTCAAGGACGCGGAGCCCCTCAGGTGCCGCCGCACCGACGGCAAGAAGTGGCGGTGCTCGCGAGAGGTACGGCTAAACGCTTGCCACGGCACGAACCGTCCCGCGCTTGCGTCTCTTGTTCTCGCAATTCTTCTCTCATGTCCCCCTTGTTCTCTACGCCGTTTCTCCACTCCTCACCCTTCCCTCGCCTCGCTCCCTTCGCTTCGGCGTGTCTCGCCGTCTCGACTCCGAGGTTGATTTTTTCTACCTTGTCCATCTGACCCTCTCCCGTTCCTGTCTCCTTCCCACCTCCCCCCAATCTCTCCCCCTCTCTCCCCCTCCCGCGTGGCTCATGGCAGGCGGTGACGGACCAGAAGTACTGCGAGCGCCACATGCACCGCGGCCGAAACCGGCTGGGCAAATCGCGAAGGCTCAGCGACAAGGCGACGGCCGGATCGTCGCTGTCCATCCAGGCCGCATCGTCCGAGGGGCCCATGGGGTGCGTGGAGGGCACGTGCTCCGCCATGACTGACACGTGCACCGACACGCCCTGCCACAAGGGCCTCGTGCCGAAGTTCGAGCTCGGTTCGGTGTCGAAGATGGAAATAGGCTCGGTGTCGAAGCTGCGGTTGAACACGGACGATGTGGGCTCGACTGTTACCCGCGGGTCCCCTCCGCCTCCGCTTGCGCTGCCCCCGCCCGCGCAGCCTGTCGGCGCGGACCAGGCGCGCACTCCCGCCTCCAAGACCTCGTACGTGGCACCCTCTGTCTGTTCTCTCTTATTCGTTGTGTTTCTTAGAAACACCGAGCAGAGGCTTAGATTCTTTGTGATCGTGCCAGTCAATGGACAACATACGGTGCTGGAAGCATATTCCTATTCCGCACTTGCTCCTCTGATTGCCTTACTCTGTGGCTTATGGTTTTCTTCTCTTGTTTCCTTGTGTCCTCGCAGGGGCCTTGGTTGCTCCAAGCAACTCGCCATCGAGCTGTCCCCGGAGAACACGGGATCACCCGTCCCGACCAACCAACAGCCCCACGACCCTGCGTGCACCCCGTCCGCTACTGCTGCTCCCGCCGCCTCTGCCAGCGCAGTCACTGGCTCCGATACCGCTGCAGCCCCGCCGTCCCGTGCCATGTTCACCCCGTTCGGCCTCCCTGAGCCCACGCCCGCTCCTTCCACTTCCTCCGCGCCTCCCCCTGAAGCCGCATCCAACAGTAAGTTGCTCGTCTCTGGCGGCTCAGACTGTTACAACCCTCAGCAGCCGCAGCAGCAGCAGCAGCAGCAGCAGCAGCAGCAGCCCTTTGAGCAGCAGCAGCAGCAGCAGCCCTTTGAGCAGCAGCAGCACTTCGGGGCGGACCCGCGGCTGCAGAAGTCGCAGTCAATGCCGTGCCACAGCAGCGGCAGCAGCAACGGCCGGATTCAGCTGCAGCTGAACGGCTCTCTGGGCCCTCGCCTCACCTCCACCTTCCAACCCGGGCACAGCATAGTGGAAGGCGACGAAGGCAGCCCCGCCCCCATGCCTCCGCAGCAGCCACAGCAGCAGCATGCGCTGATGCCCTCGCGATCCATGCCGCCCCGCCAACAGCAGTCAGGTGCGTCAAACGCCCTGTACTCTCAGCAGCAACAGCCTGCCGGGCGCATGGGCTCGCCGCCTCGCATGCAGCGGTCCACGTCGCTGGTGCTGGGCGGCGGGCAGCGGCTGTGTCTGCAGGTGCCGCCCAGCGGTAACTCACGGACGCCCGTCTCCTCCAGCGGAATGGCGCCTGCTGGTGCCGCTGCTGGTGCTGACACTGCTGGCGCTGGTGGTGGTAACGGCGTGGGGCAGCTCCAGCCGGGGCACTACCAGCTGCAGACGGGCGGACGAGGTCCCAATGGCGCTGTGCCCCTCGGCGGAAGCAACTGGCAGACCCAAGGCCAGCAGCGGCAGTCGCCCGCGCAGCAGCCTTTCCAGCAGCAGCCACCGTCTCAGCAGCCGCAGCAACAGTGGCGGCCGCAGCAGCAGCAGCCGGCACAGCAGCAGTGGCAGGGCCAGTCACAGCAGCCGCAAGACCTTTCTTCCGCGCCCTCTCCTCGGCCGCAGCAGCAGCTGGAGCAGCAGCCACAACAGCGGTGGTCGACGCCGAATCAGCAGCAGCAGCCGTGGCAGCCCCTGCAGCAGCAGCAGCAGCAGCAGCAGCAATGCCAGCCGCAGCAGCAACAGCAGTCCCAGGCTCCTTCCCAGCAACCGCAGTGGCAGCCGCAACAACCAGGGCAGCAGCAGCAATGGCAGCAGCAGCAGGCGCCGCAGCAGGCGCCGCAGCAAGGCACCAACGCTCCTTCTCAGCCCGCAGGTGGTAACCAGTGGCAGTCTCAACCAGCCCAGGCACCACTTGGGCAACAACAGCAGCAGCAGCAGCAGTGGCAATCCCCTTGCGCAGCACAGCAGCAGCAGACGCCTCGGTCTCAGCAACAGGGCGGGCAGTGGCAGGGCCAGAACCAGCAGTGGCAGCCGGAGCACGCCAAGCAGGCCCCTGGGCAGGCACCCATGACGCCAGTGATGCAGCCACAGCAGCAGCAAGGTATGGACCAGGCGGGGCAACCACAGCCCCAGCAGACGCCATACACCCCTCAGCAGGGGCAGTCGAGGCAGGGCGCGGCGCAGAGAGGCGAGGCGTGCAAGTTCAGCTCGCGCGCCCTGGTGCTCAGCGGCGAGCCTGAGTCCCCTGAAACCCACCCTCTCGTCTCCGCCCGCTCTGCTTATTCTGACGGGGCACCCAAGGCCCAGCAGCCACTGCAGCAGCAGCAGATGCGGGTGCAGCCAGTCCAAGGGCAGCAGCAACCCATGAACGTGCAGCATCAGGCGCAGCCGCAGCCACAGCATCAGCCTCAGCCGCAAGTGTCTGTGCAGCAAGCGCCGCTGCAGCAAGCGTCGGTGATGCAGCCACAGCCAATGCAAACCACAGCCATGTCCGGTCCCCCTCAGCCAATGCGAGCCCCGCGTGGATCCATGCTGCCTCCCCCTCCCCCCAATGTCCAGCCGCCTCTCCAGCAGCAACAGCCGCACTCCCAAACCCTCCCCATGCCCCTCGGGGGACTCGCCTCTTCCAGCAGCACCACCAGCAGCACCAGCAGCGGTGGGGGCGTGAAGGTGCCTCTGCTGCGCCTGCCCAGCCTCGTCCAGAGGCCGCCCGCCCACCCGTCCCCCTTGGGCCCGCCTCCCTCCAGCCTCAGCAGCCACGGTTCTGGTCTGTCGGCATCCAGTATGGCATCTCCAATTGGCACCCCCGTGGGCACCCCTATGGGCGCGCCTCACAGCAACCCCTACGTGCTCACGCGCTGCAGCTCCGTGCCTGAGCCCAGGCATGGGCGGCCGCACCTCATGCGCTCCCAGTCCATGTTTGAGTCGCCCCGGAAGAGCTTCGTTGCTGCGCCCTCCGACCAGTACTGCCCCCCGCCCCTGGACCTGCTCAATGGCTCGGATGGTTGTGGGTACAGTGACGGACCGTATGAGCAGCAGCAGTATCAGCAACAGCAGCAGCAGCAGATGTACCAACCAGTGCAATCCCAGCAGCAGCAGCAGCAGCAGCCGATGGGTTACCAGATGGGGAGTTCTGGTGGCTCCGGTGGTATGCCACCAAGCCACACCAACATGCGGCAGATGAGCAACACCCAGCAGCAGCAGCGGTACAGCCCCGCCCCTTCCCAGTCTCGAATGCACAGCCCCGCACCGCCCCAGGCGCCCATGGGTTCCCAGCCATCCCTCTCGCATGCACCCATGGGGCAGCCCCAGCAGCAGTACTCGCATGCTGCTCCCATGCAGCCACAGCAGCAGCAGCCGTTCTACCAACAGTCGACACAAGCAGTGCAAGGGCCACCAGCGCAGCAGCAGCCTCCTCTGCACCATCAAACCCAACCCATGCAGTACCAGCAGCAGCAGCAGCAGCAACCGCAGCAACAGCAGTATCAGGCTCAAACCATGCACATGCAGCCGCAAATCCAGCACCAGCAGTATCAGCAGCAGCAGCAACAACAGCAGCTGCCTGGTCCTCCGCCCATGCAACAGCAGACCACGTCTCAGCCTTACATGCAGCAACAACTTCATTCTACAACCCAGATTCATCCTCCCTCTGCCTGTGCTGACGACCGGCAGCAGCAGCAGCAGCCACCACAGCAGCAGCAGTCTGGACTCTCCATCGACATGTTTTTTAGTGACGACAGGTAAGCTACAGACACCTTCACAGCACCATATCGGTTGCCGTTTCCCCTCTTCTCGGCTTGCTGCATTCTAAACAGATCGTAGGATGAAAATGTGTTCATGCACAGCAGTAACTCATCGGTTCCCTTGCTCTCTTCTGTCTCCCTTCTCTCTCTAATTCCTCTTTCGAATTGCAGTCCATGGGAGGAGGCATCAGCCTTGATTGGCCGCTCACCCAATCTGGGTCCGCTGCCGTGTGTGGAAGACGCTGACGACTGCGGCCTCATCAGCGGGCCGCCCTCACAGTACTTCTCTGTCAACCCTTCCGACTCCCAGGATGCCTTCCTGGCCGCCTGACAATGGGATGTTTCGCAAGGGCTAGCACAAATGCTTGCCCCTTGACAGACCTAAGGGATGTAAGCAGGAACAGTAGGCTCTGTTCTTTTGTTGTGATATGTAGATTTTTGTACACTGGGTGGGTAGGATACTTCTGTCTCCCTCGTATGCTTGACGAGGTCAAGGATAGGTAATAAGCCACGCCATGTATTGAACATACTAATACTATCACATAACTGTACTACTCCAAGTCATGAACATTATAGTGCCAGCAACTGAACCAGACCAGGATTGTGACCAGGCATGCCCTCACAGTTGCGAGAACTTCCAGGCCAGAAATAAGAGCTCCGAATCCCATACAAGACATCAATGAACTGATTCTCTCAGGTGCGGAAGCATCCTGGACTTCTCCAGGATTTTAGAAGAAGAGCAATCACCACCACAACCATTACAACAGTCAATAGTCGGTCTGCCGTCCACCCTCACAATGTTGCTGATGAGCAACTCCCTGTCCTGTCCTCCCTGCACTCCCCACCCACTGGCTCTCCTCAGGAGAAGCGCTACGCTGACTGCGCCCCAACACCAGCCTTGAGGGCTTCTGCCGACACCCAGACAAAGCTCTTACCGGGAATGACCCCCTTCTGGCAGTAATATACACACTTTGGCTGAGCGCTGCGGTCAATATTGTCACGGGAGCACACGGGGGGCCAGGAGTCCGGGAGAGAGAGCGAGGGAGAGGAGGTGGGGGAGGAGGGAGCAGCAAGGCCGGCCATTTCCAGGAGGGCGGGATCGAGGGGGTCCTGGCAGAGCGTCTTGACCGGGGCCTTGATTGTAGAGGGGTCTTGTAGCGCGTTCTTGGAGTACTTTATAAGGAGGATGGCCCAGTAAAGCGTGTGCCCGCTACGTGTGCACGCCCACCTGGCGGTTCCAGCAGTGAGACGAGGGACAGGGGGAGTGGAGGATGGGGAGGGGAGGAAGGAGAGGAGGGGGGGAACCATGAATGCACATTCATGCATTTGAGAACATGGCTGTCGTGGCTCTGCCACTCATGAGCATGTTGCACACTGATGCATGCTGCATGACCAGCACACACATCCAACACACACACACTCAGCACACACACACTCACTTAGCCGCCCGTTTGCCCGCAGCAACCATGTGGTGCACGTGGTTGCCATGGCTCCGAGCCCACCAACACACACACTCAGCACTCACACTCAGCACTCATACTCAGCACACACATGCACAGCACAGACACACACTCACTTGGCCGCCCGTTTAGCCGCGGCCACCATGTGGTGCACGTGGTTGTCGTGGCTCTGCGCCCACCGCAGCTTCTCTATCAGGTTGTCAAAGTGCCGGTTCGCCGGGATGAAGTTCACGTAGGGCTTTAAGAGTGGCGTGAAGAACTCCGCGTAGGGCGAGGCCTGCCTGATGGCCACCTGTAGGAGGGAGGGGGTAAAGGAGGGGGGTACAGGGGAAGTGGGGGTGGTATGATGGGGGGACGGGGAAGAAGAAGGGACGAAGTTCACATATGGCTGCAAGACAGGCATTAAGAACTACCAAGGGGGGAATGGGGGAGGGGGGAATGGTGGAGGGGGGAATGGGGGAATGGGGGAGGGGGGGAGGGCCTTGTGAGACATCTCATACCTCACCTGCTTTCCCCTTCCTAGAAACGCCTCACAATCACTTGTCAAATCTCACCTGCTCGCCCCGCGCAAGAATAGCACAGGTGTGGTGGGAGGAGGGCAGGCCAGACACGATCTGGTACTTGGACTTGCTCATTGGTGGGTCGGTGGAGAGTGAGGTGAGAGAGGTGCGAGAGATGTTATGCCTCACCTGCTCGCTTCACAACCTCACCTGCTCGCTTCACAACCTCACCTGCTCGCTTCACAACCTCACCTGCTCGCTTCACAACCTCACCTGCTCGCCCCGGGCCAGAATAGCACAGGTCTGGTGCGAGGAGGGCAGCCCTGACACGATCTGGTACTTGAACTTGCTCATTGGTGGGTCGGCCGTGAGTGTGGGGCGCCCCACCATGGCCACTCCATCCGCCTCCATCCTAAGAAGAGCGTGCGGGGATGAAGGAAACGGAGTGGATATGAGGTGCGAGGGAGTTTGGTGAGAGAGCAAGCGCGGGCGAGTGAGAGGGAGTGAGGGGGAGTGAGCATGAGTGAGCAAGAGTGAGGGGGAGTGACAGGGAACAAAAGTGGGGGAGAGCGAGTGAGAGCAGGCACTGAGAAGGAGGATGGAAGGAAGTTCATCAAGTAACGCCGAAGGTGCAAGATTCACCGGGTAACATCACCCCCTTCCCTGCATCACCGTCTGGCCAAACCCCACCACCCCACTTTCTGTCCCTCCCACCACCCCAATTTCTGTCCCCCCCTTCACCTTCTCCCCCCTTCACCTTCTCCCCCCCCCACCTTCTGGCCCAGTGACCCACCCCACCGTGGCTGCCCACACCTCTTGCGCACGTCCCCATCGATGTCTCGGCTCCACCCGATCAGCTTCACATCCAGCAGGTCTGGCCGCGCTTCCGCCATCCTGGAAGGGGGGGGGCGGGGAGGGGGGGGAAGTGGGGGAAGGGGGGAGTGGGGTGGGGAGGAGGGGAGGACGAAGAGTGCGAGTGAGCATCAGCGTCACGTCCAGAAGGTCCCACCTGTGCAGGCAAATAAGTGGGTGCACCGTGCATGTGCCCTGAAAACAAGTGGGTGCACCGTGCACGTGCCCTGAAAATAAGTGGGTGCACGTGCCCTGAAAATAAGTGGGTGCACGTGCCCTGGAGAATAAGCTATCTAGTACCTACCCCAGAAGGCCCCACCTGTGCAGGCGGATGAGGGGGTGCGCCCTCCGCCAGTTCTACCTACACCAGAACATCCTACCTGTGGAGGTGGATGAGGGGGTGGGCCTGCCAGCTCTGAGAGTCCTCAAACGGGAAGCTGTTTGAGACGTCTCAAAAAGTGACTCCTATCACATGTCTACCTGTGCAGGCGGATGAGGGGGTGGGCGCGCCAGTTCTGCGAGTCCTCAAACGGGAAGCTGCTGGCCGTGCCGCGGAACACAGCGCGGTTCTCCTTCTCCTCCCACGACACCTGCAGCAGGGGAAGCGGAGAAAAAAGGGGGGGAGAACGGTTCAGCGCGATTCAAACGGAACACAGTGCGGTGTTCTCCTTCTCCTCCCAGGGCACCTGCGGCAAGGGGGTTGGCATGGAGAGGGTGGGAGAAGAGAGGTGGCTTCTCGCACCTCATTTCAGCGTGACTTTTCAAATCAGGGGTCGGTTCTCCTCGCAGAGCCCTCCCAGATCCACCACTCTAAGCCCACCCCCACCCATTCCCATCCATCCCCACCACCACGTTCTCAGGAAGGTTCATCCATGTTGTCGGGCAAATCGAGGGGGTCCGGGATGGCCACGTCCACAGAGCAGACCCACACCCCAGCATCAATCATTCGCCAACCCAACCCCACAGCCCCCCCTCTGCCGCTCTCTCTTCCCAAACCACCCACTTCCACGTTCGCAGGAAGGTCCATGTTGTCGGGCAGGTCGAAAGGGTCGGGAATGGCCGCGTCCACGGAGCAAGCAAGACTTAGACCTCCAAAATCGGTCATGAGGCAACACACCCCCACCCACCTGAACCCCACCTTCCCCACCCCCTCTACCCCACCTTCCCCACCCCCTCTACCCCACCTTCCCCACCCCCTCTACCCCACCTTCCCCACCCCCTCTACCCCACCTTCCCCACCCCCTCTACCCCACCTTCCCCACCCCCTCTACCCCACCTTCCCCACCCCCTCTACCCCACCTCCCCCACCCCCTCTACCCCACCTTCCCCACCCCCTCTACCCCACCTCCACATTCTCAGGAAGGTCCATGTTGTCAGGTAAGTCGAGGGGGTCCGGGATGGCCACGTCCACGGAGCCCACCCATCCCAACCCATCCCCACCCATCCCCACCCCACCCAACCGCACTCCATTCTCTCACCTCCACGTTCTCAGGAAGGTCCATGTTGTCAGGTAAGTCGAGGGGGTCTGGAATGGCCACGTCCACAGAGCCCGGCACCACACGCGTGCTGAAGAAGGGGAACCTCATTGGGCGGCTGCCAACCCACCCTGACCCATCCCAACCATCTCTACTCCCTCGCGCACCTCCACGTTCTCAGGCAGATCCATGTTGTCAGGTAAGTCAAGCGGGTCTGGGATGGCCACGTCCACGGAGCCGGGGACGACGCGCGTGCTGAAGAAGGGAAAGCCCACCGGGCGGCTGCCGCCCACGTCGCTGTCATAGCTGATGGGCAGGTCGCACGTGTTGACAAAGAACTCCGCCCGCACGGCCGCCAGGTTGTGGAAGTCTACTGCTCGCTGCAGGGATTGTGGGAGGGGGGGAGGGGGGGAGAAGGGGGAGGGGGGGGGAAGAAGGGAGCAGGGGGGAAGAAGGGAGCAGGGGGATTCGGGGAGAAGGAGGGATTTTTTAGGCGTCTCAAAACACGGCTGCCAGGTTGTGGAAGTCTACTGCTTGCTGCAGGGATTGTGAGAGGGGGGGAGGGGGGGGGTGGGTGAAAGATGGGAGCAGGGGGATTCGGGGAGAAGGAGGGAAGGGAGGGAGGTTGTGAGATGGGAGGAGAAGGGGGATGAAAGGGGAAGGAGGAGGAAAACGAGGTCGGGGGGGGGGAGAAGAGAAGGTTGGGGTGCAGAAACAAGGAGCGGAAGGCGGGGCCGGGAGGGGGAGGGGAGGTGGATTTGGAGAGGTGAAGTGAGGACTCTCCTATAATCACTTTAGAGATTTCTAACGAGTGAGTCAAGGGCGTGTTGATCTGAGCTGAGGTATGCGTGAGAGGGGGAGAAGAGAGTAGAAGGGGGCCGCTTGTGAGTCGACTCAAAGAACGGGGGGGCATGGATGCAAGAGATAGTGCGGGCTGCTGGAGTAAAGGAAGAGAGGCGGGAGGCGGGAGTACTGGTGAGGGGAGATCCAAGGAAGGGGGGTGTTTAACATAGGAAAGGCAGACGGGCGTGGGAAGGATTGAAGGGAAGTGATTGGAAAGGAAAACGAGAGGGCTGAGAGGGCTGGGATGAGAGAAGGGTGGACGAGGCAGCACTGGTGTCTAACCAGACTGTCTTTCGAGGACCCTCGACCAACACTCACCGGGATGGTCTTCACAGTCTTCAGGAAGCGCCTGAGGCAGTAGGGAATGGCTTTGGAGTGACTTTTGAGAATTCTCAAAAGTCACTCCAATATGGCAGTAGGGAATGGCTTTGGAGGGGCCTTGATCGACTCTCACTCACTCACTTGAAGGGCGACTCTTGAGTCGACTTGTGAGGCGCCTCAACTCTAAAGGCGACTTGTAAGGCTCCTCAACTGACACTCACCTGAATGGTCTGCAAGAATCGCCTGACGCGGTAAGGAACGGTTTTGAAGGGGCTTGAACTCACCTGGCGCGCGACTGACTGAAGGCGACTCAGCCTAACTCGACACTCTCTCACCTGAATGGTCTGCACGGTTTGCAGGAAGCGCCGCACGCGGTAGGGGACGGTGATGAATCCGCCCAGCCGGAAGTAGACTGACCCGTCCACCACCCTCACGTGGCCCGCACATGACATGAACTGATTGGGGAAGGGGGGTGGGGAGGAGAGGAAGGAGGGAGTGGAGGAGAGGATGGAGGGGGTGGGGGAATGGGTTGTGCAACGGAGGAAATATACTGACCCGTCCACCACCCTCACGTGGCCGGCGCATGACATAAACTGATGGGAGGGGAGGGGGGTGGGGGCGGGAGGGGGGGGAGAAGGTTTGGGGGGTGGGAGAGGGGCACCAAGTGCGGGATGGTGATGAATCCGCCCAAACGGAAATAGACTGACCCGTCCACCACCCTCACGTGGCCGGCGCATGACATAAACTGATTGGTGGAGGAGGGGGAGGAGGGAGGGAGGGAGGGAGGGAGGGAGGGAGGGAGGAGAGGAAGGAGAGGAATGAGGGAGTGGGAGAACGGGTTGTGCGAAGGAGGAAGTAGACTGATCCGTCCACCACCCTCACGTGGCCAGCGCAAGACATGAACTGAATCGGGTGGAGGAGGGGAAATAAGGAGAAGAGGGAATTGGTGAAGTGGTGAAAGGGGTGTGCGAAAAGAGACAAAGAAGAGAGCGGGAAAGGGGTGAAGAGCAGCTCACGTGACCGGCACCCAACTTGGACGGATGTGAAAGGGTGGGGCAGGGAGGAGGGATGGAATGACAAGCGGGAAGGAGAAGGCAACAACGAAGCCGATGAATGCCAGCCCACTACCCTCACTTGGCCTCCTACCCCTTCTCTTCTTCCCCCCTGCGTAACCCCCTCTCTAGCACTCAACCTTTCCCTCCCACCTCACCCGTGGGCGCTGGCTGATGGTCTTGACAAGGCTGGGAGCCACCATGCCAGCAACGCCCATTCCATTGCTCTGCCATCTCAAACCCCCCAACCCCCTCCCTCATCTCTCCACCCCCCCCCCCCCCCCCCCCAATCACCTCCCACCCAACCCCCTCGCTCACCCGTGGGCACTGGCTGATGGTCTTGACAAGACTGGGCGCCACAATGCCGGCAACGCTCATGCTGTGTCAGCCGCCCCCCTCCCACACCCTTCCCACACTCTCCCCCTCCTCACCCCCCCTCCTTCCCCTCACCCGTGGGCGCTGGCTGATGGTTTTGACAAGGCTGGGCGCCACCATGCCGGCAGCGCCCATGCCGTGTCAGCCGTCCCCCTCCCACACCCTCCCCCTCCTGAGTCACCCTCCTCACCCCCCTCCCTCACTCACCCGTGCGCGCTGGCTGATGGTTTTGACAAGGCTGGGCGCCACCATGCCGGCAGCGCCCATGCCGTCACGAATCTGCGGGATGCGTGTCCACGGCGCCAGGTTGTGGTCCACCATCTCGCACACCTGCATGCACGCGGTTCAAAGCGGTTGAAAGGGGTGGAAGCGCAGCAAGCAAGCAGTTGAGAGCGGTCAAAAAGGGTGGACGTGTGGCAAGTAATCGATCTGCGGGATGCGCGTCCACGGCGCCAGGTTGTGGTCCACCATCTCGCACACATGCACGCGGTGGAAACGGGTTACAAAGGGTTGCAAGGGGTTGCAAGCGCTTGCAAGGGGGTACAAGGGGTTGCAAGGGGTTGCAAGGGGCTGCAAGGGGTGGAAGCAAAGAAATGTGCGGTGAGGACTGTAAAGGGCTGTGGTCCACCTTGTCGCTCACCTGCTGTACAGTTGCACACCTTGTTGCAGTGGACACATTGAGCTCCGCATACCCGCGCACGTCCCACACGATCTTAGCCACGCGCTGGCTCAGCTCAGCCCGGCCCCGCCAGCTCATGGCTTTTGAGTCGACTTAGACGCCACCCCTAACACCTGCTGCGCCATGCCATCCCACTCACCTGTTGCACGGTCGCCGTGGACACGTTGAGCTTGGCGTACCCCCGCACGTCCCGCACGCTCTTAGCCACGCGCTGGGTCAGCCCCGCGAGCTCATCCGCGGGGGAGTCCGCGGGGGAGACCGCGGAGGCGGAGAGCGCGGAGGAGGTGGACAGGGACGGCTGGTCGGACGCGGAGGGGACGTCAATGGGGACGGGGTCGAGCAGCGTGGCGGAACTGGGGGGGGTTTCGGGGATCTGCGCGGGCAGCTGCGCGGGGATCGTGTCCAGCTGCGGCTGGGGCTGCTGCGCGGCTCTGGTAAGGGAGGCGCGCGGGGGGAGACGCGGTGAGGGAGAAGAGGGTTGGGGGCGGGGAAAGGGGGACGGGTGGCGAGGGGGGCAGGGGAAAGGCGGGTGAGAGGGCGAATGGCGGATGCGATGGGGATGCTGCATTGCAGGTGGGGAAAGGGGCAACAAGAATGTTTCCCCAGCACCCCCCCTCCCCACCCCTCCGTGCACCCTCTTCGCCCAACCAGAAACCCACCCCCGCCTTTCCCCCTTTTCTTTCCCCCACGTCCACCTCCACCGCCCCCCCAACCCCTCCATTCTTCTCAATCGGCTCACCCCTCCGCGGCCGCTGCCGCGCCCCCAGCGCGCTTCTTGGCCTTCCGCGGGGCTTCTTCCGCCAATGCGCTCCCCGGACCGTCGTCCAACTGCTGCTTGCGGCGAAGGCGCTGCTGACGTGGCAGAACAATTCAGGCAATCATGCGGCATCGACACATGACACGTCATGCGATGCGATGAGATGCGGTGCGATGAGATGCGGTGCGATGCGATGCGATGCTCGGAATAAGATGAGTGCATTGTTTGAAATGCTTCACGACCAGCCTCGTTTCGGAATGCACACGTGTCAAGCAAGCCATTTCCATGCCACGTCAAGCAACTCGTGACCTATAGTTTTGAGCGGTCGCATAACAATCAGACTAACGTTCCGATGCCTTATGTCGGAAATACTTGGTTCGAAGGCGAATAAGGGAATAATGGTATATTAGAGGAGACTGCGGAGAAGAGTGTGGTTCGGACAGGGCAGCGTGCGCGCGGCAGACCACCTTGGCTTGAAGAAGTCGCCGTCTGAGAGGAGATTCGTTCGACGAAACGTCTTTCACCGTCTGCCACTCTTCGCCTGAAGCGAAAACGTGCGCGGAAGGCTCGCCGCGAACGCAGGCGACATTGGTAACAGAGACGACAGCGGCGACGAGCGCAATCAATAAGAGACACAGCCGCGCCATTGCGGGGCGACGCGCGTGACGCGGAATAAAATCACCTGCTTCCGACAGAATGGAAGCTCGGATTCGGCCCAAATCAAGGTTAGAAGACCCTCACAGGCCCTATTGTGTACCAAACTCGAGAAAAAGAATGGCTGCAGGGAAGATATGGCAGAGTACGACTGTTCCGCACACAGTGCAGACATGTGCCTCGGGAATGTCCATCTGGTGATGCACCAACCTCGGGATCTTCCATCGCAAATCGAGTTCGCAAAGATGTGGGTTACTTGGATACCCTGCGACCTCAGTACGAGTGTGGCCACGGGCTGGATGTTCGTTCGAGATAGAGTTGATCAGCAGAGTGCACATCAGTGTGATATGTTTTGACATAAAAACCTGTTTAAACTGGCACTTTATATAGAATTTAGGTAACCCTAAACTCTCATCTCCACTCCACCTCAATTTCACTCCGTAGTCATCCACAAGCCAGAACTCGCAGCGATGCCCATAATAGAAAAATCACAATACAACATGGAGGATCATGCCTCTCTGATAGTTATTGCAACCCCTTCAAAAGCAAAAGCATCACCCAGAAACAGCAAAAGCAAATAATACCCCCCTTTCTCTTGAATACAGGCTTGTATTGTGAGCATTTCTTAGTGAAATGTCTCTGAAGGGCTGTTATCAGGGGCTCCCTTCCTCCTGTCCCATGATAGGAGCCAAGAGATCATGAACCTGCATGACATGGATGGCAAGGGACAACATAAAAACTGAAGAATGTCATCATAGCTTGTGCGCATATCAGTGTGCGTCCATGTTTGCGTGTGCGTCCGTGTTTGCATGTGCGTCTGTGTTTGCGTGTGCGCCTGTGTTTCCGTGTGCGCATGCAGGCATGGGTGCACGTCTGTGTGGATGCCCACGTATGCATATGCATTTTTGTGTAGGTGGGTGTATGCGTGTGTGAGCACACATGCACGCGCACATGTGTGCGTGTGAGTGTGTGCACACATGTAACCATTCACACATGCATGGATCCTTTCAACCATGACCGTTACACACCTCTTTGACCGTCGGCCGCTCTCTCTTATCCACATTGATGCATCGCATTGCAAGGGACGCCAATATGAGCACCTGACCCATGAGAGGGGAAGAGATAATGTCAATTCTGAGAGTGAGTGGCTCAAAGAGGAGTCAAACGAATCAAGCCAGAGGCTCAGAAAGGGAGCGGATTTTAGATCATGTGCCTTCCAAAAGTGCTGGGCTTACCTCATCCTCGTTGTACATCCCCTCTAACAGCGGATCCACCAACTCCTTTATTGAATCTGAGCTGCTCCAGTCCTGCTGCCGTGCCTGCACAACATCCCATCCATCACACACATCCATGCCGCATACAAGGTTCCAACATACACAACCAGGCCAGACGGAAACCTCTTGAATCGTTGTGCGCAAGCAAAGAGCAGAAGGGCGCACTGCGAGCAAGAAAAGGGTTCCCCAGGCCAAGTAAGGTCAGCAACACGGGAATCCCAAGGTCCTCCTGTGTGAGAAATACAAGACTGGAAGTCCCAAGGCTTGCCCAGTCACTCAGCTGCATCACTTTTGAGAATTCTTAAATCAGATTCTCACAGGGGATTCTAGAAACACACCTCTCAAAAGCGAATCCCAAGGCCCACTCGTGTGACAAGTATAAGACTGCAAGTCCCAAGGCTTACCCAGTCGCTCAGCTGCACCGGATCACGATCGTCATCGTACGGAAGCTTCCCGGAAACGAGCTCAAGGAGCAGCACACCATAAGCATACATGTCGGTGGTCTTGTCCGTCTCCCCTGTGGTGCCGCACTCGGGGGCCATGTACCTGCACGGAGTGAAAGAGAGAGGGCGGGGAGGGAGCAAGGAGCGTGGCGGGCGGGGTTTGGTTCTGAGGCACCTCATGCCTCTCGTCTTGTCCGTCTCCCCTGTGGTGCCGCACTCGGGGGCCATGTACCTGCACGGAGTGGGGCGGGGAGGAGGAGGTAAAGGAGTGTGGGGAACAAGGGGCAATGCGGGCTGCTTCTCGGGCGACTCACGCCTCTCGTCTTGTCCGTCTCCCCTGTGGTGCCGCACTTGGGGGCGATGTACTTGCAGGGAGTGGGTGAAGAAAGCGGGGCACAAGGGAAAGCGGGGCACAAAGGAAAGCGGGCACAAGGGAAAGCGGGCACAAGGGAAAGCGGGCACAAGGTTTGGCTGGGTGCACGAACAGACTTGTCCGTCTCCCCTGTTGTGGCGCACTCTGAGATGATGTCCCAGCAGCGAGTGGGTGGGGAGAAGGGGGCTGGGGTTACTTTCAGAGGCACCTCAACGAGTGTAAGGGAAACGGGGGAGAGAGGCTTGCAAGAACTGACTTGTCCGTCTCCCCTGTTGTGGCGCACTCTGAGATGATATCCCAGCAGCGAGTGGGTAGGGAGAAGGGGGCTGGGGTTACTTTCAGAGGCACCTCAACGAGTGTAAGGGAAACGGGGGAGAGAGGCTTGCAAGAACTGACTTGTCCGTCTCCCCTGTTGTGGCGCACTCTAGTGCTTTGTACCTGCAACGAGTGAGTGAGAGGGGGGGGAGGAAGACAAGGAGTGGAAGGGGAAGGGGCTTAATAGTAGCAGGGAAGAAGGGCGCTTATGCTTGGCAGTAGGGCTGAAGGGAGGGCGCTTATGCTTGGCAGTAGGGCTGAAGGGAGGGCGCTTATGCTTGGCAGTAGGGCTGAAGGGAGGGTGCTTACGCTTGGCAGTAGGGCTGAAGGGAGGGCGCTTATGCTTGGCAGTAGGGCTGAAGGGAGGGCGCTTACGCTTGGCAGTAGGGCTGAAGGGAGGGTGCTTACGCCTGGCAGTAGGGCTGAAGGGAGGGCGCTTATGCTTGGCAGTAGGGCTGAAGGGAGGGCGCTTACGCTTGGCAGTAGGGCTGAAGGGAGGGTGTTTACGCTTGGCAGTAGGGCTGAAGGGAGGGCGCTTACGCTTGGCAGTAGGGCTGAAGGGAGGGCGCTTACGCTTGGCAGTAGGGCTGAAGGGAGGGCGCTTACGCTTGGCAGTAGGGCGAGGCGAAGTTGTCGTTGCGAGCCTCTGCAAAGTGTGACATTCCAAAGTCGAATAGCTGGCGGCGGGGGAAGGGGGAACGGGAGAGTGCGGGAATGGGAGAGTGGGGGCATGGGAGAGTGGGGGAATGGGAGAGTGGGGGGATTTGGAAGTGGCGGAATGGGAGAGTGGGGGAATGGGAGAGTGGCGGGATTTGGAAGTGGCGGAATGGGAGAGTGGGGGAATGGGGGAGTAGTGGCGGGCGGGGGATAACGAGAGGGTTGGATGGGCGGACGGGATGGGCAAGGACAGGCGGGACTGTGTGGCAGCACATGCGTGTGTGGCAGCACATGCGTGTGTGCCAGCACATGCGTGTGTGCCAGCATAACACTGAACCACACGTCTCAAGGAGCGCACTTGCTTGGGGGGTTTGGCCGCAAGGCAAAGAAACTTGCCTGGGGGGGTTGGCCGTGGGGCAGCAGCACGTTGCGTGAGACGAGTGCGCCGTGCAGGATGTGGGGGTGCGAGCACACGTGCAGCTGCAGCAGCCCCTCCCCCACGGCATGCGCCACATGCACCCTCGCCTGCCACCCCATGGGCTCCTGCAATGCTTGCTCTGCACAGAGGGAGGGAGGGAGGGAGGGAGGGAGGGAGGGAGGGAGGGAGGGAGGGAGGGAGGGAGGGAGGGAGGGAGGGAGGGAGGGAGGGAGGGAGGGAGGGAGGGAAGGAGGGAGGGAGGGAGGGAGGGAGGGTGAGAAGAGAATGGCTTGCTTGTGGGGCGTGACCAATCAGAAGATGAAAGGAGTTATAGATTGATATCAACTCGTCTCACCAAGCAGGTGCGTCACGAGGCGGTGCAGCGAGTGGAAGAGGTGAGGCGTGGGGGTGTGGCCGTGGGTGCAGGTGAGCACTGGTGACAGCGACTCCCAGCAGTGTCACAAGCAGTTGCCCCACCTCGACCTTGCCCCACCCCACCACTCCAGTCTCACCTTGCCACATGTCTCACCTTGCCACATGCCTCACCTTGCCACATGTCTCACCTTGCCACATGTCTCACCTTGCCACATGTCTCACCTTGCCACATGTCTCACCTTGCCACATGTCTCACCTTGCCACATGTCTCACCTTGCCACATGTCTCACCTTGCCACATGTCTCACCTTGCCACATGTCTCACCAGGGAGGTGAAGCGAGTGGAAGAGGTCAGGGGCGTCGGTGTGGGTGTAGGTGAGCAGGCACTGGTCCGTGGTGACGGTAAAGCCCAGCAGAGTCACCAGGTTGCGGTGCACCACTCTCCTCAGCGCGTGCGCCTCTGCTATCGTGCGACTCACCCACATGTCCCTCTCCCTTTCCCTCTCCCTCTCCCGCGCCTCCTCCCCCGTCCCCCACTCCCCTCCCCTCCCCAGTTCTCCACTCCGCCCCCCCACACCACGCTTATCTCTCCCGAAGCTCCCCCCTCCCCCGGTGCTCCCCCCTTCCCCCGCCCCGGGCGCCATTTGCCGCACCACCATCACCTCCCCCACGGTTTTGATCGTCCCCAGATACACCTCCCCCAGGTGCGCCTGCCGGTGCACCCTGTGCGGGGCGAAGCCCTCTGTGGCTTGCTGCAGCGCGTGGAAGGAGAAGTGCGGCGCTTCGAAGAGGGGCAGCGTGGGGAGGAGACTGGGGGAGACTGGGGCAGTGTGTGTGCGCGGCAGGGAGTGGCGCTTGAAGGGTGTATGGGGGGAGGCGGGTGGATGCGGGGAGGGGGGTTGATGGGCCAGAGAGGAGAGCACCTGCGGGTAGGACGAAGACGAGACGATTCCGCGCGGTTGTTCGCCATACAAGTACGCAGATGAGCCGTCTAAGAAGCTTCCTCCTCCGCTCGTGCCGCTTCCTCTCTCCCTGTCAGAGCCCCCGTGCGACCGCCCACTGCCCCCCCGCTCTCTCGCCAACTCACCTCCCCGTTCTCTCTCCGACCCGCCTCCCCCGAGTGACCGCTCGCCTGCACTCCACCCAACCGACCCTTGCGCCCCATACAACTCCCCAGCCGACCCCCATTCCCTGCCCGACCCGCCCACCAGCTCCCCGCCCCTGCTGCCGAACCTCCCCCGAGCCTCCGCCTCGGCGACCGAGCCAGGTATGGAGAGCGACAGGTGGTCGCCCGCGCGGCCCTGCACGGCGAGGCCGTTCTGCACGGCCTCGCGAATCCCCTCCATTTGTAGAAGCACTGCGGACGCGTCTGGGCGCTGCTTGGCGTACCGCACTGTGCAGTCCGCCGCGAGGGACGCGAGCGCTTGCAGCGCGGAGGGCGCGGGCGTGGGGGGGAAGGGCAGCGCGGGGTCGAGGAGCGGTGGAAGGTGGTGCGCGCGGATGAGGGCGGTGAGCGCGGGGATGTTGAGGTAGGCGCGGCGGCCTGTGGCCGGGTCGATCTGCTCCGCTGGCTGGCCGGTTAGAAGCTCCAACAGGATTATGCCAAAACTGGAGAGGGGGTGACGAGGGGAGGGAGAGGAGGAGAGGGGAGGGAGGGGGGGAGAGGGGAGGGAGGGGAGGAGAGGGAAGGATATGAGGCGAGGGGATTATGCTGGCTGGCCGGTTAGAAGCTCCAGCAGGATTATGCCGAAACTGGGGGGTGAGGGGAGAGGGGGGAAGGGTGGGAGGGAAAGGGGAGGAGTGTGAGAGAAGGGGTGTGATGGAGGAGGAATGAGGGAGGTGTGATGCAAGCACGAAGGAACATTGAGAGGTTGGGTGTTACAGTGCTGTGGCTCCCCACTGACATGCCTTATTCACTGACCTGTAACGCCACAACACTGACCTGTAACGCCTCTACACTGACCTGTAACGCCACTACACTGACCTGTAACGCCACTACACTGACCTGTAACGCCACTACACTGACCTGTAACGCCACTACACTGACCTGTAACGCCACTACACTGACCTGTAACGCCACTACCCTGACCTGTAACGCCACTACCCTGACCTGTAGCGCCACAAGACTGACCTGTACACATCGCTGGCAGCAGACGCCCTGAGCGCGATAAAGTACTCCGGGTCAATGTACGCCGCCCGGTTGCGCCGCCCGTTAATGGTCGGCGCATAGGGCAGCCCCTTCACCTCCCCCACGTTGGCAAGCCGCGCCTGGGAGGGAGAAAGAGGGAAATACAGGGGGGTGGAGAGGGATGAGGGGGAGTGGGTATGACACATATGTCAAAAGGGTAGCCTCTTCACCTTCCCCATGTTGGCAAGACACGCCTGGGGGAGGGAATGGGGAGGGGGGTGGGGGTGGGCCTGGGAGGATTGTTGTAAGGTTGAGAGGATTTTTGTAAGGTTGAGAGGATTATTGGGATGCAGTGAGTGTAAAAACAGAAAGAGGAGGGCCGGTAGAGGCGGATGAGGAGGAGGAAGAAGAATGAGCAGTACTCGCGTAGGTTGAGAGTGGCAGCAGCAGCACCAGCAGCAGCACTCAAATACGTACGCCCAGCGAAGAGGCATTTGAGTCAACCAAAACGCCGCAGCAGCACTCACATAGGGCCAGCGCGGCTGCAGCAGCACGTTGCCGGAGTTAACTTGGCGGTGCACAATGGGCGGGTCCACGCAGCAGTGCAGGTGGTGCAGCCCCGCCGCCAGGCTGTGCGCTATGTCCACCCGCCGCTCAAAGGAGAGAGATAGAGCGGCGTCTGGGGGGTGAGGGCGATAGCATGTGGGATACAGGCACAATGGTGGGTGGGAGACCAGTGCACCAAAGGAGGGTCCGCGCAGCAGTGCAGGTGGTGCAGTGCTGCCGCCAGGCTGTGTGCTATGTCCACCCGCCGCTCGAAGGACAGGCAGGCCGGGGGATCTGAGGGGCGCGGGGGACAAGAGCATGTGGAGGGATTCAGGGGATTTAGGGCATTCAGGGGATTCAGGAGATTCAGGGGATTCAGGAGATTCAGGGGATTCAGGGGATTCAGGAGATTCAGGAGATTCAGGAGATTCAGGGGATTCAGGGGATCCAGGCTCAGTGGGGGTGGGAGAGGGAGAGAGAGGCAATGCGTCGCAACAGTGCAGGTTTGTCATACATCAGCCTCACAATCCTTGCTCTCACTGCCAAACCATCAGCGACTCACCTCCCATTGCGCCACCCGTCTGCTGTTGCTGCAGCTGCCACTGGTGCTGCTGCAACAGATACTCCAGCAGTGTACCACCGCCCCCACCCGCAACATCAGAACCCACAGCACCAGCAGCAGCAGCAGCAGCACCAGCCGCAGCTGCAGCTGCGCCAGCAGCGCCAGAAGTGGCAAGAGCGTCAAAACCACGATTGGCGTTAGCACCACCGCTGGCAGCAAAGCTGCTGGCCTTCACAAAGGAAGCACCACCGGCAGCAGCACCACCACCACCAGCCGCAGCTGCAGCAGCAGCACCTGCACCAGCGGCGGCAGCAGTTCTCTTAGAGCCGCCAGCAGAGGAACCACCGCCCCGGCGGAAGGAGGACGGGGAGGGGGATGGGGAAAGGGCGGGGGCGTGTAGCAGCGGAGCAGGGTGGTTGTACACGAGCATGTTGCGCCCTACCTCCTCCGCCCACCCCACCAGGCGCACCAATGACGGGTGTGACACGGGGCCCAGGGTATCGACCTGACGTGGAGTGGGGAATGCAATGGGGGGGGGGCATGTAGTGAAGGGTGATCTGATAGCTTATACCCAAAACCCTAGACCCGGGGGTTGACACTTCCGTTCAGTTTCCATCCTCCCCTCAAATCGTTTCTTTGCTCCCTGTCATATTATCCCTCCGTAATCCAGTTCGTGTCCCTTCTTGTTCTGCTCTGTCCCCTCTTGTCCCCTATACCCTAAACCTCCCCAATCCCATACCCTCCCCCGTTTTCCCAGGTCTCACCTCCCTCCGGAACGCTTTGATGATGTCAATGTTGTCTGACGTGGAGACAACGACGAGCCAGGCCTCCCCCCGATGCTCCCCCAGGTACGCGCGCCCAAAGTCCCCCTCCCCCACCTGCTGCGCCACCCCCAGACTCGACGTCGCCCTCCAGATTGCCCTCAGGGGCAGCTTCTTCGCCGTTTCCGCGGGGGCAGCCGAACGGGCAGCTGAAATAGCGCGGGGGGACGCGGTGGGAGGCAGAGAGCAGGTGTGGGGTGGAGAAAGAGAGCAGCACGGAGATTCTACGATAGAGTTACAAACGACCGTCAATTCACAGGGGAGGGGATGAGGTGAGGGATGCAGAAGAGACGGAAGGACAGCACGAACAAGTTGGAGCCAACTGTGGAAAGGACACTGGGACTGGCCTTTGGTTTGGCCGGAGGGGCTACAAGCAAAAGTGTCGCCTCAACACCAACAGGAGTGTAATAAGGCTGCACTCAGCACTTGGCGGCCTTGCGACAAGAGGCGTGAAGTTATTGCAGCCATGGAGGGCGCAGATGGGGAAGCAGGCGTCAACGGGAGGAGGAGCAACGCGTCTCAGGAGCGTTGAGTGACTAGTTTGTGTTGACTGTGTTGACTGCGTTGACTTCGTTGACTCGAAGATTGGCCCGGCGGGGAGGCAGGCGCGGAGATCATGGCGAGCAACGCACCTAGAGCGCGCCGATGGCAGGGTGAGGCAACACACCTCGATAGTGGAGTGAGATGAGGAGGGCGAGGAGGGCGACGAAGACGATGAAAAGCACGACCGTGGCTCCGCAGAGCACAATGAATAGCAGCTTCCCCTGCGACGCGGCATCCGCGTCTGGTAAGCGTAGGGAGGGACGGATGGATGGGAGCACGCGGCGTTCGACAGATACATGACGAGGTGTGCCACGAGACCTATGAGCGTCCGAAATGACGTAAAGGGCCTCAGAGATGTGACGGGAAGGACACAAAGGTTTCAGAGCACCGACGGAAGAAACAAGCATCACAAGCAGGGACGGGAAGGACATATGATGGAGCAGCGAACGTATAGGCAGAGAGTTACCAGTGACTAGTAGCCGTCGGTCTGCCCTGAAGGGTATTGGATAGTCTGCAGAGAGAAACGACGATGAACAGAGGCACCGAACAGCGGCAACGAATGAGTCTCAGCAAATGAATTCGATGCGAGTTTCACGACGTCTCAAAACGCCGAAGCAGTGAAACTCTACAGAAGCCTCCTGAAGCCTACCCGACCCTGAGGGTCGTTCGTTCCTGAACTGAAAGCGACACATTTTAGGAGGCAGCGCTCCGCTATGGGCCCGGTGCACTCTAATCCCACCAAAATATTCTCTCTTTGTGGACTCTCACCCGTCTATCAGTCCATTCCGTGCAATCTATTTCTGCCAATAAACCACCGAGTTTGTGTACCAGCCTGCCTTGCTCCTAGCGTCACGCGACGTGCCCGCACCTGTCATTCTTGCATCTGCTCGTCCTAAAAGCGCGGCAAGCAGCGCCAGGACGATCGGCAGGCCCGCGCGGCCCGCCGAGCAGTCCATCTCGACGTGAAGCTTCCCCGTGACGCGCGGGTGTGACTTCATTGACTGATGGAGTGACTTCCGCCTGATGGCACAGGATCTGTACAGCTCTGAATGTCGTGATGCTCTATTTGCCTGACATGTCCCATGCGAGGGAGTTGGCTCGTCATTGAAGCCGTCGCTGAGAATCACTGGGCGTTTGAATGTCCAGCATTCATCCTCGTCGAGCACCCTAGGGAGCATACTCTAGAACAACAAGACGTGAAGCATTGCTGATCTAAAAGGTTACGGGCTCGTGAATCTCCGTGGAGAACGCTATTCGTTGTGTCTGAGCAAGTCGGATTGCCAAACGCCTGATTCACTCAAGCAGCGAAAACCAGCGAATTGGATAACAGGCTGTTTTAGGTAAATCAGATAGGTGCAAACTGCTCTCCTTGCCAAAGTGAGTCTCGACGAAGGTGGGTGGGTGGATCCCTCCCCTTCGAACTTGGTTGGATTTCGTTGGCTTCGAAACGAGACAAGTGCCTTGGACTTGGTTGGTTCCCTCTCTTCGAAGCTCGAAGCGCGAACAATTCGAAGGGAACGCGGTGATTGGAGAGGCTGAAATCATCCTAGACAGCATCCACACGACATCGACGGTTTACAAATGCTGTACGGTAGGCGGGAGCGACAGATCGACCGCTCATAGATGGCGAATACCTTGTGGTGTCATTCGTCTGTCCGATTCAGGAGCGATTTACGGAGGAAATCCACCTCCCCAAGCGCGCATATAATTGAAGAATTATAGTGTGGTAGCTGAGACAAGGGAATCCGACGGCTTACCGCGTTCACCGGAATTTGTCACCCCGACAACATTCCTCGCATACATGCCTACCCGTTTCTAACAAATGGTACGACCTGCAGTTCAAAAATGTATTTTTTTAGCTAACCTAGATTCTTCACTTCACCACATCCACATCTAAATTGCCAACCAGCACGAAAACATATGAAAGCTGATTTGTTGACAATATAGCCCATCCCAAATTGATACTTCTCACATAAACATGGTTTCACTCACTCCATACAGCACCACCAGCAATCCTTCAAACATACGCTGCTTCCCAACCCAAGTACTTCTATGAACTGGTAAATTTGGATGTTTATTCATTCACTGGCTTTTTCCGTAACTAAGATGTCTGCTGAATCTTAAACCTTTTTCTTCTCTCAACATACTGTGAAGAAAGCACTGAGCTCTTTCTGACACATGAAAGAACAGGAATACTAATGAGTAACGACACTCCCGTTTTGTACATGTACAGTATACCCACAGATACGCACTAGCAAATCAGATCTTATGCCCAGCAACTTAGAGTGAGAGAAGGGGAAAGCAACTAGATTATCGCGATTGGGCACATACTGCACACTTCAACCTGCCCACCATTGCCCAGGCTGACTGATCGTGGATAGTGGATTCACATGGCTTCAACAGGCCATCATTGCCCAACTATGCCTCAGGAAGACATACTAGGTACTAGGCATTGTGATTCATGCGCCTTGAAATTCCGATCCTTCCAGAAATACGGTAGTAGGGCGAGTGAGGTGAGTGCGAGTCAGCGTGATTCATGGGCCTTAAAATTTCGGATCCTTCTGGAAATGGTAGAGCGAGTGAGGTGAGTGCGAGTCAGCGAGTGAGGGAGCCATGGATGACTGAATGCGAGTGAGTGAGTGAGTGAGTGAGTGAGTGAGTGGGTGAGTGAGTGAGTGAATGCAAGCTTAGGAGACGGTACGGCCATAGCTGACAGATGCAATGTACAAATTCTTGGCCCATTTCTCCTGCACATAAGATAACACATGCCACCACATACCATACAGTGCACAACACCAGGCCATACCATGCCAGCCAGAAAAGTGTGTGAACAGAAAAAAAGAAAAAAGAAGAAGAAGAACTTTTGCAAGGAATCTTTCAGAAAGATATGAGAGTGCTTCATGACAAACAAATAAAAAGATCACCGGCATGTGTCTTTGCATACCTTAGCTTGACATTTCAAAACATACATTGGGCACATCGATTGACTGGCATACATTCATGCGCACTTGCCATGGTTGCAACGCCACACAAGCCCCCCTTGACATGCATGCCCCAGCACACACGGGTGCGTGCATTGCTCACCCCACCCGGAGAGTGCAAGCATTGGTCACTCTCTCACCTTTACATGGGTACTGGGGAAAGCCGATGTTCTCAGAGTCTCCTGGGTCTCATCCGCGGGTCGTCTGCGCGGCACACTGAGAAGGAAGGCAGCCTGGTCCCACGTGGCAGCGGTGGCTGTGATGCGATACCCCATGTCCCACCGCCTGTGAATGCCCTCGCTGGGATACAGAAAGTCCAGCTCCACCACCTGCTTATAACGAGTACAGTACAGATGAGGGAGGGGGGAAATACAGGCAGAGGGGGAGGGCGGTGATGCAACAGCCCATGTGACACCACGGGAAGACAAGCCGTGGCCATGCTGTGGTGAATGCCCTTGCTGATGAATGGCTTAGACCTCTAGGCAGCAGGCACGAGCACATCCATCGTGACCACATGGAAGCTTCAGATGCTAAATTTCCGTTTTAAGGGATGTGCTTGGACTTGCTGCAACACGCGTCGGAACGCCTCACACTGGACCTGACTGCACCGCACCTGGTCAGTGAAGCCGGCATTGCGGGACATAACCACCCCCCAGCGGCTGCCAGCAGTGGCCATGGACGTCACGTAGAAGCCCTCTCGCCACTTCTTGTTGATCCACTTGAATGGGAAGCTGTCGCTGACCTTGTATGACTGCTGTGTATACGGTGTGCCTGGGGGGGGGTGTAGTGGGGGGGCGGCAGTGGAAGAGACGCGGTGTCACTTGAAGGTAGAAGCCCTCGCGCCACTTGTTGTTGATCCACTTGAACGGAAAGCTGTCGCTGACCTTGTACCACTGCTGCGTGTATGGCATGCCTGGGAGGGGGTGGGAAGGAGGAAGGCGGCAAGGGAGAGAGAGGGGGCACTGTAGAGCACTGAAAGATGGAGCAAGTGGAAAAGCACCTGCAAGAATTGAACATGAAAAAGAGATTGAGAGAGCAAGTGCGGGGGAGGGGAAAAACATGCTAAAAAGAAGGTAGGGCGATCAATGAATATGCCCTTTCACCTTTCCACCTCCGCGAGCCCAGCTTTTGCCATTCCCGTTCACCTTCCGCCGTCGCGTTCTGAGGCGCCTGAAAATTTGTCTTTTGCCATTGTCGTTCACTTCACCTTCCGCCGTCGTCGTGGGCTCACCTTTGGACATGACAACGAGGGAGTTGCCGTTGCTGGCGCCCGCCACTGCTGTGATGTAGAAGTTCCTCTCCCACTGCTCCATGATCCACTCCTGATTGAATGAGGGGCGGGGGGAGGGAGGTGAGAAGACATTTCAAAGTGACGCCTTTTGAAGCGCCACAAACGGCGCTGCCACTGCTGTGATGCAAGTTCCTCTCCCACTGCTCCATGATTTACTCCTGAGGGATGACGGAGGGGGAAGTAAGGAAAGGGGTGGGAAGCGGAGCGGCTTTATTAAGAGTACTAGGCGGGACAAGGGAATGGCTTGCAATGAAAAATGGTTTTCCTCCCAAAATGGTGCAGCAAGTCGCACCCAAACCTGGGCAGCAGGATTGGGCAGGAAGACCCACCCACCTCGCCTTGGGAAACGCACTCACCTTGGCCAGAGACAAAGCACTTACCTTGGGCAGGAACACGTGCGAGAGGTCGTAGACCTGCGCTGTGAAGTTGGTGCCCGCGTCCATGATGAGCGCCCAGAGGTTCTGACACGACGCCACGCTGCTGATGTGCAGCCCGTCCTCGTTGCCCTTCTCCACGTGCTGTGCCAGGCGCGAGTCCGCTACATTGTAGTGGTACCTGCGTTACAGGCACACAGGACATACAGCGCACGGGGAAGTGTGACGTTGCGCATGAGGTGAGCATCAAATTACTGCTCATGTGCAACCCATCCTCCTTGCCCCTCTCCACGTGCTGCGCTAGACGCAAGTCCGCCACATTGTAATGGTACCTGACAACGTCGCCCAGGCGAGCAATACAGATGGTATGAGAGAGGGGGAGTGAGAGGTTGTGGCATGAAGAGGCCTCGATTGCTGCTAATGTGCAGCACGTGTCACTACCTGTGCCACACCGCACCTCTCTTTGACACTACCTGTGCCACACCGCACCTCTCTTTGACACTACCTGTGCCACACCGCACCTCTCTTTGACACTACCTGTGCCACACCGCACCTCTCTTTGACACTACCTGTGCCACACCGCACCTCTCCTTAACACTACCTTGTGCCCCGGTACCTTACCCAGGAACCCAATCACCCACTTCTCTCTCTCCAACGCCACTGGAACCACACCTTTGCTTCATGGGCCGTCTCGCACTGTACACCGAAATCCACTGGGTGGCCGGCATGCCGAGGCGAATCTTCTTCCTCAGCTGATCCTCCTCCTGTGTGCCACGTGCGTACACCCTCCCTCTCTCTCACCCCCCCTACCTCTGCTTCATAGGCCGTCTGGCGCTGTAAACAGAGATCCACTGGGTGGCCGGCATGCCGAGGCGGATCTTCTTCCTCAGCTGATCCTCCTCCTGTGTGCCACGTGCGTACACCCTCCTTCTCTCTCACCCCCCCTACCTCTGCTTCATAGGCCGTCTGGCGCTGTAAACAGAGATCCACTGGGTGGCCGGCATGCCGAGGCGGATCTTCTTCCTCAGCTGATCCTCCTCCGCCTCCTCCTCGCCCCCCTCGCCCCGCCCCCTCTTCTGCCCCACCTGCACCTGCCACCACCGCACACGGATGTGCGCATGGGGGTCAATATGGTGATGAATGCATGGGGATGTGCGTATGGTATGGGGGCAAATATGGCGATGCATACACACGGGGATGCGCGCATGGGAATGTGCGCATGGGAATGTGCGCATGGGGATGTGCGCATGGGGATGTGCGCATGGGGATGTGCGCATGGGGATGTGCGCATGGGGATGTGCGCATGGGGATGTGCGCATGGGGATGTGCGCATGGGAATGTGCGCATAGGAATGTGCGCATGGGGATGCGCGCATGGGGATAACACACAAACATATACAGATACGGATAACACAGCTCTGCATTTCTCCGTGTTGACGGGTTAAAAAACCACACACCGCACCACACCGCACTACACCCCAGTGCAGGACCGCCGTCACCCACCTTGAGAGAGCGTGCTCCCTCTGTGTTGAGAGGCAGTAGTGCTGGGTTGGGGGAGAGGATGGGGTCGAACATGGCGGCGCACTTGGCGTAGTCGGGGCGCTCATCGAACTTGAGGCTGACGACGTACTCGAGGAAGAGCTTGAAGGGCGGCGGACAGAAGCAGCAGAGCATCTCGGGCGACGTGCTCATCTTCTTCTTGCACACTAAGAAACCCTTGTTGTCGCCCTGATGGGAGATGGGTGAGGAGAAGGGCGAGAGGCGGAGAGGGTGAGAGAGGGAGAGAGCAAACGGAACAGGAGCAGAGGGGCAATTCCGGTGAGGTGGTCACCTTCTACCTCTGCCACCTGAGAATTCACCTGACACATGCCACCCGAGAATTCACCTGACACATGCCACCCGAGAATTCACCTGACAGCCATGCCACCTGAGAATTCACCTGACAGCTATGCCATCAGAAATTCACCTGAAACCCCTGCCACCTGAAAACTCACCTGGTAGCCCTGCCAGGGCAGTCTTCCTCGCAGCAGGAAGACGAGTGTGTATGCCAGTGACTCTAAGTCATCCCTGCGACTGCCCGTGCGCCCCAGGTGTGCGTGGACGCCTGCATAGCGCACCGTGCCCCTGTGAAAGAGGAAGAAGAAGCACAAGCACAGGGTGCGGGTGAGGGGACAGCAGGAAGGCGAGTGTGTATGCCAGTGATTCCAGCTCGTCCCTGCGACTGCCCGTGCGCCCTGCACCCCCGCATAGTGCACCGTGCCCCTGTGGAGGAAGGGGGAGCAAGGAACTGTGTTCATTGTGGTGCATGCATGCATGGGGTTTCAGCGCCTCTACGCCCCATATGCGTGTGCAACCCACGTAGCGCAGGTGGCTGTTGCGGACTTTGACTATACACCAAGGAACAATGTCCGGCTACCTGGCCTGGCCCACCTGACCATCTCTGGCGATTCACCTGAGAACGTCTGACAATGCACTGGCAATCCGCCTTAAACGGCCTGGCAAATCACCTGAATAGGTCCTTTCACCTGAAGATGTCTGGTCGTTGGTCATACTCCACGTGCTGCCCCGTGTTGCTGTCCCTCCACCTCGTTGCTGCGCCATGCACGGACGGTGGGAGCAGGAGAGAAGAAGGGGTGGGGAAGGAGAACAATTGGAGAAGAGAGAGAAGGCAGGGTGCGGAAAGTTTTATTTTAGAATTCTTTACAGAATCGAACTCCATTGGGGTGCCCCCACATCCTGCAACCCCACTCCTTTTCTTTCTTTGTTTGAGTAAAAACAATGTCATAATGGTCAGTTAATTCACTGTCTCACCTAAACCCAGGTCAACCAGGTACAGCTTCTTTTCCTCGGAAGTCCCGGGCTGCCCGAGAAGAAAGTTCTCCGGCTTCACGTCTCCATGCACGTAGCTGGTGGAAGAAAAACGGCAGTTTGACAAAATAATGGGAGGGAGGAGGGCGAAGGTGCACAGTGCAGGGCTTTCAGGCGTCTCAAAGAAGAGAGGCAGAAGACGCCCTCTCTCCGTTCTCAAGGAAGAGAGGCGAGGCAGAGAACGGAGAGAGGGCGTTGAGACGTGTGAAAGGCGCAAGGACGCGCAGAGACGGGAGAGGGAGGAGTGATGGGCCCAGAGAGGGGACGAGGGCCTGGGAGAACGAGTGACTGCATTCACCCTCGCTATTGTCACACTCACTCACCCTCGAAATTGTCACAGTCACCCTCGCTACTGTCACACTCACTCACCCTCGCAATTGTCACACTCGCCCTCAATACTGTCACACTGACTCACCCTCGCTCGTGCACCTTCTCCAATATTGAGAGGGCCTCCGCTGCTATGCACGCCACCATCTCCGTTGACATGCTGGTGGGGGGGGGAGGGGGGGAAGGAGGGCGAAAGGGGGAGAGGAAAAGGGGAAAGGGGGGAGGGGGAAGAGGATAAAGCCTCCGTTGCAACGCACGCCACCATCTCCGTTGACATGCTGGGGGGGGGAGGGGGGGGGGAGGGGTGGGAAGGAAGGGGGAGCGGGGGAGGTTGGGTTGGAAGGGGGGAGGTTGGAAGGGGGGAGGGGGGGAGTGGATGCTAAGTTGCAATATACGCTTATAGCGTATATACGCTTATCGTATATACGCTAGCGTATGCACGCTATCCGCTTGGGGGTCGACTTTGGAATACGCTTTTCCGGGCAGGGAAAAAACTTTCCCGGGCAGGGCAAAAAAAACCACTTGTGGATGTTTGGGGGGGGGGGGGGGGGGGAGGGGTGAGGCATTTTGGGGGTTTTGCAACACAGTTTTTTTTCCGCATGATAAGATTACGACACCATACACACACACATGTCACTAATACTCTCCTGCCACCCTAGTTCTAAGCGTACTCGTCCTCCAGGACGTCATCCTCGCCTTCCTCCTCCTCCACCTCCGTCTCATCCAACCCGTTGTACCCCTCGGGAATAGGAGGCTCGTCCCCAATCCCTGGCACAACGTTCGGCATTACATCTGCACGCGAGTGCCAGTTGCGCACAACATTCCAGTTGTGCGCAACAAAAACCAGGTCCTGGCACTTTGCAGATCCGAGGCGGTTCCGGCGGGCTGTGTGGACAGCATCCCAAGTTCCCCACCCACGCTCACAAGGGGATGCCGATACAGGCTGAGATAGCACCCTCACGGCGAAGCGCATCAGGTGAGGTGCATCTGTGCCGTTCCACTGCCACTTCTTCACCATGCTGTACTTACCCGCCTTCACCTTCTCCCTCTGTGCAAGAGCCTCCGGCATCCCAAAACTGCCTTTCATGTCCAAGAAAGCCCTCAGCCCGTCACCCAAGGCAAGCAAGTAATCTGGACCCTCATCCCTCCCCTTCCCGTCGTGGCCGATGAGGAACTCCACGTGCTGGTTGATTAACGCCTTGAAAACCCGGGTGCATTCGGCGTCGCTGCCAAAGATATCCTCCTCCTGGTTGGCGGGGTTGAGGATTCGGCCAGCAACGTGCATGGCGCAGGCGAGGTTGTTATCCCAACGGTCCTTGATGATGCTGCGGATCTTTTCCTTGTCCGCGCTACTCAGCTGCTGCTCATCCTCGTCCAGGATGTTGTTGACATCCTCGGTAAGCTGCAGCATTACATCGTAGAGCCGGCCCATCATCCCATTAGCATCTGCGTCAGTCTGCCGCATCGCCTTGTAGGGCAGTTGCATCAGCTTGCAGAAGAATTCTGCCGTCCGCCACCATGCGTCATCGAGGACCCGTGCAGCAAAGGCCTCGGCAGTTTCCTTCCGCGACCCCGAGGCCCACTCCTTCCACCTGTCGGAAAGCACCATCGCGTTGAGGGTGCTACGCAACCGACAAAGGCGGGACACAGCAATGTATTGTGTCCCGAACCGTGTTCCCGCTGGCTTCAGCGGCTGCAGCACCTTCCCCTCCACCAACTCCTTGGTTCTCAGATAAGCGCGCGTCCAATGATGGTTGCGAACGAACGAACTCATCTCCCCAGTCCGATCCACCACCCCTTTTGCCCACCCCATCTTTCCCACGTCCTCCAGGAGGAGATCCATCACATGCGTGTCACAAGGGACCTGTTGAATGTGGGGCCACTTGGCAATCAGCTCCTGGACAGCCACGGCATAGTTCGACCCCCCATCCATACAAAACGCGACGACATTTTCTGGTCCTACCTCCACCACCACCGGCTGCAGAATCCCCGCTATGTATCCCCCCGTCTTCCGCTCCATACCGCAGTCGATCGCCTCCCTGAAGACGGCGGCGTAGTCGTTGATCAAAAGCACGTTCGCTTGCGCCCTCCCACATTTGTCCGTCATCATGTCGGACGCAATTGTTACCCCCGTCTTCTTCCAGCTCGATTTAATCCCCACCAGCCCCTGCTCAATCCCTTTGCGGACAGCGACCAGTCCAGCCCCGCCAATGAAAGTCCTCCTGGGGGGGACGTAGCCGTTGCCGGCGCGGTTGACGAGCAGCATGGCGTTGATGAACAGCGGGTGGTCCATGGTGACCTCCGGGATTTTGCAGGCCGCAAACATCAGCGCAAGGCCCTCGTGAGCATCCCGCTTAGCCGCAGAGGCATCTCCCTCCAAGTAGTCGGTTATGCGCCGCTTCCCTCCGCCAGCCTGTACTGCCGCAACAGCAGCAGATGTTGCTCGGTGCTTTTCCTCGATCACGGCAGCCATCTTTTCGTATTTTGTGCGCATCTCGTTGCGTACGTCTTGCGGTGCCTCCTTGCAAAGCGTCACCTCGCGACGCTTCATTCCCTTCCACGGGCTCAGGTGCTGCGCGCAACGAATGGCTGCACCGGTGAAAAATTGAAGCAGTACTTACACTCCTACTGCTGTGCTTTGCCTTCTTCCCACACAATGAGGCTGAAATGTTTGAAGACAGCGTGTTCCGGCATGTCAGGAAGGTAATCCCTACCCTCAGGTCGAACAATCCGAGAACTCTGCACTGTCTGAACGGATGGCGGTGTGCATGGCGGGCTAGACATTACGAAAGAGACGGGGAACTGATGAATTGCGTAGTTGCTTGCAACCCACTAAGTAGCACAACGAGAGAAGGGAACATTGGGACATTTGGTTGGAATGAGTAGATGGGAGGGGATTCAATGCGGTAACAAACAGAGCGCACAAAGTGTGTACGTGAAAACACGACTTGACAAATTGACACAACCAATCTCGACTACGTGGGTTGAACCCACGTCCACGATTGGACAAGTCACGTATGTGCAATTCGCGTTCTGCAAAAAGCCACGTCCACAATTGGACAAGTCACGTTCGTGCAATTCGCCTTCGGCGAAATGCACGTCGTGAAATTCCGCATTTTTCCGTATGTTCGATTTTTTTTTCACCCGGGCTGCCCCAAAACAAATTTGCCGAGCGTATAGCGGATTCGCTTGCGTATAGCGTGTTGCGTGTATACGCAAGCGGATATCCGCTAAACGCAAACAGGCCTGAGCGTTTATTGCAACTTAGAGTGGATGGATGAGGTGGTGTGGTAGCACCTGCGGCAATGCACGCCCTCATCTCCGTTGTCATGCTGGGGGGGGTGAACGGACGGAATGGGGGAGGGGAGAGGGAAGGGCATAGGCATGGATAAGGCGACGACAGAATAGAAGGCTGCTGAACCATCTCCATTCACGTGCTGCTGAACCACACCACACCACACCACACCACACCACAGCACAGCACAGCACAGCACAGCACAGCACAGCACACCACACGTGGGCACAGCAGCATAGTCAGCACTCACGCTTGGTTGTGGTTGTTCCACACGTCCCACAGGCTCGGCCCCAGCAGATCCATGACCTGCCATGCCACACACGAGCACACACACACAGAGGCAGCGGATGGAGGAGATACGAGACAATGTGCTTACGACTCCTCAATCACTGGCCTGGACCCAACAAATGGCATGACATACTGGCCACGGTTGGACACACACGCATGGGAGATAACCATGAGGAGAGACATGCCACCCATGCCCCTTTCCATGGTATTTGGCACACACCACCCCACCCCATGATGCAATGATCCTCCCATTTTCCCTTCCAATTCTTTCCCTTCCCTTCCCCCTCCCCTTTTTTTTTTTGGGAGCCTTTTGGGTGACACAAGCAGCGCAGCAGCAGTAGCCCTGAGTGCGTGCGTACCATGATGTAGTAGTCGCCCTGCCGCCCCTTGAAGTGCACTCTGGGCACGCCATGGCTGCCGCCCAACGTCCTGCACCACACAGGCACGTGAGATTGGAGAGGGGGTGGACGCGAGCGCAGAAGAAGGGCGGGAAACCGTTGTGGAGGGAGAGGAGGGGAGACGGGAGGGGAGGGGAGAGTGGGGAGGGGAGGAGGGGAGTTGCGGAAAGCAAGGGTAGAATGGGGTAAGTCAACGCGGCACAAGAAAGGGGGATAGCTTGATGACAAATAGCTCAATGTGACACGCACTATGGTGGCTTCTGTGAGGGCATGTGTTTCAGCTGGACGAGTCTTGTCTTGTGACCTATACCCTCTCACACTAGATAGCAACAAGGAGGCTATATTTTATCTCATGTGTGATCGTCAGACAAACAAGTGCTGCAGTGCAGCGCACTCGTACATACAAGTTAGTGCAAGGTACTACGATCGAGTACAAGCTAGTGCTACAGGGCAGCACACGCACGTGTACACCTGCCACTCGTAGGGGGGGCCGTAGTTGCACCCCTTGCTGCTCCGATGCTCCAGCTTCAATGCCACCTGCACCCCACCACCACCACGGCCATCACGGCCACCATGCAAGTCAGAACGGCAAGCACAGCCCAGGCAAGCACGCGCATCCCTGGAAGGAACATGTTTTGACATGTTTCAGAACTCAACCACAGCAAGCAGTCATCTTCCCGCCCACGCGAACCGACAATGCAACAACGCATACACCATTCCTGCACACCCATCGCTCATCCCCCCCTCCCCGCACACCCGCCGCTCAACAAGCTCCTCTGAAATCGAGTTTTCCATACTCAGATGCCGTTTACAAGTCGTCACTCACACTTCCACTGCGTTTAACCAGGAGTTTTGGATGAAAATCGGAACAAAGCCGTTCATCTCAATCGCCGCCACTCATCTCAATCGCCGCCGCTCATCTCAATCGCCGCCGCTCATCTCAATCGCCGCCGCTCATCTCAATCGTTCATCTCACCTCCACGGCGTTGGGCCCAACCCGCTCGTTGCCGCCGCTGACGCGCCTTCCCACGTACACCTGCCCGAATCCGCCCTTCCCCAGCTTCCGCTCCATCTTATAAACCGGCGACCCGCCCACTTGCACCTGCCGAGAAAAAAGGCACATCTTCAATATCCGAGGGGACATAGCACGCGACTCTACAGCTTCCGCTCCATCTTATAAACGGGCGACCCGCCCACTTGCACCTGCGGGGGAAAAGAAGTGTTACGAATTATTACACAGAGCACTGAGCGGACAATAGCGTCGACTCTAAAGAGTCCGCGCCATCTTATAAACGGGCGACCCGCCCACTTGCACCTGTCAGGAAAAGGGGTATCGTGATAACTTCTGAGGCGCTTCAAAAGTCGAAAACGGGCGCATTGAGATATACTGACGGCAGCGGCGACCCTAAAACGTCCGCTCGGTCTTATGCACCGGCGACGGGCCCACTTGTGTCGGGAAAAAGCGACCGTAAGACGCACGGTGCAGAGAGAAGCCCGCTACACTATCGTGACTCATAGTGTACCTAGAAGGATAAGTTACGAATTTGGAACACATATGGAATTGAATTTGCCGTACTCTTTCGGGCAGCGCCGTGGAGCCCGCATCCGCGTCCGCCGCTCCTGCCGCTGCTGCTGGCGCTCTGTCTCTATCCGCGCTTTTCCGCTCGCTCTCTTCCTCCATGACCGCGCTCGAAGCTCCTTCAGGACGATCGAAGTAGTGAAGCTTTGAACTCGAGTTTTAATGTTTGATGTTGTTTTTTTTAGGACGAAGCAAGTATTAGTGCGTAAGAAACGTGGCTTTAATTCGGAACAGGGGTAGGAACAACCCTAGCTCGCACAAGAACTGGTACCCGCGGACAAGAAACTAACAAGCCGCTTAAATCAGATGCCCCAATAATTTTCCTGATTTAGCACGCCGAACCTCAAACAGACTGGATGTAGACGACTAAATAAAAGGCTGCAGAACTAGCTGATTTCAAGCGCGACGGGTTGCATGACACAATAGAGGGAGCTAACCTAAAACGTACATCTGCTTGAGCGCAGATACTTGACAAAGGAGGAGCACGGGAGGAGCTGGAGTCGAGATGGGAAGTTCAGTATGGAGCTCAAGTCGCCAGCGGTCCAGCTTATACCTGCACGGCAATCCCGAGGTAGAATTGCCGCGCGGTTTGGGCTGGTGGCGCAAGTAGTGTTGGGGGGAACTGGGGGCAGCCGGGGAAAACTTTCTTGCCAGCGCCGCGTGCCGGGGTATTTTCTTTCCAAGGGGCGGGGCGGAAGGAGAGACGAGCTTGCGCGTATGCGGCGGAGCAAGGGTTTCAGAAACTGGCTGGCTACGATTGGTTAGCTGATGAGTCAGTCACGCGGCGACGTGAATTTCGAATTCTTTCCCGCGGGGCAGCTGCGGCGACAAGAGTTTGCGAAGCACGGGATTCTTCACGCCACGTGCTACGACTGGGGATTTTTGTGGGCAGGATATTTCCAAAAAGGCAGGGTGGTTAGTTGGTGGTGGTTGAGGTTCCACAACCACTGGCAAGCGTCAAGCTGGGCGGTACTGGTGTCCACCTGCAAACGAACAAAATGTCACAATGTACACCATCTCCAGCCTTATATGCGCTATACAATATAAACAAAACAGATAAAACAATATGAGATTGATGCCCACTAGATGTGCAAACTCATCAATGTCACCCCAATCTTCATTCTAAGTCTCATCCTCATTTGTTTCCACTGCAACGCCATACCTGCCAGCCCTGCCACTATGACTGGTACCCTCTCCACCACTGCTGCACCTCCCCCCACTCACATCACAACGTCGACTCCCTCCAACTGCTGCCTTTCCATGCCTCCTGTCTTGGCTTCCAATCCCGTCATCATCACCGTCACCACAAGAATTATCCTCACCCGAGTCATCATTACCATTATAACCATCCCCAGAATCATCATACTCATCATATGTATCATCAGAGGCATTGCCAGCAGCAGCTGCAGCAGAACCCACGGGCGCTGCAGCACTGGTGCGGGCAGTTTTCTGCATCCAGAGAAGATTGACCAGTGCTTGTTGCTGCTGCACCTGCTGCAATAGCATCTGTTGCTGCTGCTGCTGCCACTGCTGCAGCATGTGCTGCTGCTGCTGCTGCTGCTGCTGCTGCTGCTGTTGCTGCTGCTGCTGCTGTAGCAAAACCTGCAACCACTGCTGCTGCTGAGACTGTTGCTGCTGATGCTGCTGCTTCTGCTGCAGCCATTGCAGCTGTTGCTGCTGCTGCTGCTGCTGCTTCTGCACCAGAAATGCTTGAAAAGCAGCCATGTTAGGAGCACCCATAGCACCACCTAAACCTCCTGAGGTCTGCTGCTGCGCTGAGTCATGGGGTGTGCTGCTGCGGTGGGTGCCCTTCTTCTCTTCCGTTTCCCTGCCTGCATCACCATGACTGCTGTCACGATCCGCGTCCTCACGATCGCTATTGTCACGGGCGCTGTTGCCGCATCCAGCATAGTCACGTTTACAATCCTCACTATCTATGTTCTGACAATCACTATCACCGGCAGTGGTTGCAGCAGCCGCTGCTGCATCGTTGGCAGCAGCAGTGGCAGCAGCAGCGGTCACAGCAGCAGCTGCTGCAACGTCAGCATCTGCACCCGAGAGGGGTGTGCAACCCCCCAAACTCGGGGTTACCCCAGGATTTGGTTCAGCGGAGGGAGGGCAGGCAGGGACAGAGGCGGCAGCAACAGGAGCCGGAACAGCAGCAGGAGCCCAGACGGGGTTACCAGGCATTGGATGCTGGAAAGGACCAGGAGAAACCCCAGGTGAAAGGTCAGGTGTGGTTTGGTAAAGGGGGTAGCTCCACAACCCTGCCAAGCCTCCGACCATACCAGCTGCCGAACCTACAGGCACGGGGCCGGGAGGTACGGCAGGGGCAGGACTGGGGCTCTTGCCTGTATGGGTAGGAGGTATGGGACGCGAGAGAGGTGGGGTGCGAACAGGGCTACAGCGAGTGGGACTAGCGTGTATGGGGCTGGCATGTATGGGGCTGGCATGTATGGGGCTGGCATGTATGGGGCTGGCATGTATGGGGCTGGCGTGTATGGGGCTGGCATGTATGGGGCTGGCGTGTATGGGGCTGGCATGTATGGGGCTGGCGTGTATGGGGCTAACATGTGTGGGGCGATGGGGCGAGCTGGATGCTGCAGGCTCCTCCAGATTCTCTGCTTCGTGGCGCACTTTCTGCTGCTCCTGCCGCTTCTGCACCACATAATCGGTGTGCTGCTTGTGCTGAGTGTACTGTGAGTGCACCCGAGGGGAGCGCGACAGAGCAGGGGCGGCAACGGACGCTGCTCTGGGGCTCGCTTGCCACTCCCCCCAATGCTCCTCCCCCCTTCCCCTATCATCCCCATTATCCTCTCCCATACCCTCCCCCATACCCTCCTCCTGCCTTCTTCTCTTCCTCCTTGCCTTGTCCGCATAGCCAACTGCAGCACCAGCAGTACCATCCCTCACCCTCTCCTCATTTTCCCGCTCCTCTCCCCCCATAACCCCTCCTTCACCAATCGCAGCAGAGAACCCTTCCGTATCCGTCCGAACCACTTGCCCTGGAAATCCCCGAGCCTGCGACTCAGCCTCGACACAGGTGTGCGGCGCAGCTGGGGAGGCGCGGAAGGGAGGTTGGGAAGGGCGGAGGGGCTGGAGAGGCGCAGGGGAGAGGGGGGCGGAGGGGAAGGAGGCGGGGGGGAAGGGCGCGGGGGAGAGGGGGGCGGAGGGGAGGGGGGCGCTGGTGGCGGAGGGCTCGGGGGAGGGGGGGCGGTCTGCTTGGAAGAGTTCTTGCTGTACTATGATGAGTGAATGCAGGTCCAGCAGCTGTGCTCGCACTATGCGCTCATGCCTGGTTGTTGCAAGGCGGGGAGAAGGGAGCGCGGGACGAGAGGGAAAGGGGGAACGGAATAGGTGGGACAGAATAAGAGGCGAGAAATGGAGGGAACGAGAGGTGAGAAAACGAGGAAAAGGAAGAAAAAGACGGAAACACGCTACGCTCACCTCTGCATGCCCTGCTGCTCACCTCTGCATGCCCTGCTGCAGGCGCCAAAACTCCCGCTGGCCCACCACGGCCACCACGTCACACGCCCTCACTCCTTCACTCACTCCTCTTTTGCCCCTCGCTTCTCCCCTTGCTCCTGTCCTCTCGCCACCTTCCCCCATTGCTCCTCGATCCGCCCTCACTGCTCCGCTCACATCCCTTCCTCCTACTGCTGCGTCCCTCCCCACTCCGCTTATCCCAGCCGCTTTCCTCAACTCCTGCCTCTGCTCCTTCTCATGCTCCTCTGCCCTCGCTTTATTCCCCCCCGCTACTCCCCCCCAACCTCCCGCCACAGTCTTTCCGCCACCCGTAACCGCAAGCATGGCAGCCGCGGCTGCTGCAGCGGACATCGGGGGGAGCCGCGGCAAAGGGGACAGGCAAAGGGGGACCCACGGCGGAAGGAAACGCAGAGGGGGCGAACGGGGAAGGGGCGCCAGGAACAGCGAAGGGGGAGGCGGAGGCGGAAGCAGGGGGGCCGGGGGAGGTGCGCGAGTGGTGGCGCCACGCCCAGAAGGCGCTCTCCGCAGCCTCATCCCGCGGAGACGAGCTTCCGGGGATCCGCACACCTCCGCCCGCCATTGCCCCCGCCATACCTTCCGCCCTCTCGTCCGCCAACCCGCCAGCTCCTCCTCCCCCGATTCCGTCCGCAATTGAGCCCGCGGCGGGGTTTGGGAATCCTGGAAATCCGCCGGAGCTTCCGGATGCGCCTGATGCATGCGGCGGGAAGGGAGTTCCGCCCATGGCGCGCGGCAGCGCGGATATCCCCCCTGCTGCGCTCGCAACGGGAGACGGGGCGGAACGGTCGGAACCGGAGGAAGGCCCGCCGACGGAGTGTGTTGCGCACGCGGCTTGGAACGCTGGAGGCGCGGCTTCGTGGAAGCTTCCAGACAAGGAGTCTCTGGTACGCGCGGGAATGGAAGCGCGGGGCCCGCTGCTGTTGCTGACGGGTGCCGACGGGCGCTTGAAGGCTGCTTGTAACGAATCAGGAGCTTGTAACGAGTTCGCGGCTTGCGAAGAACGCGGCTGCGCGGAAAAGAGCTGCTGGCTGGCGGCTTCGAAGGGCGCGTATGCGAACTTGGACACGTGGCAGGGCGGCGGCAGCACGGACGCTGCGAGCTGATTGGTGGACGGAAGGGTGCGTAAACGGCGCAACAGTCGGAACAAGAGACGGGGAGTCTCAAGCTCGTTAGAAGGAAAACTGCCAATGGCTGGCACGCATGCATGCATGCGCGGATGGATGCATGCGCGGATGGTGGGGAACGGGGCCCCGCCGCATGGGAACGAAGGAACGAAAGGCTTAACGGAAGAGCGGAAGCGGGGAGTACGGAATACGCGAAACGATAACAGCTTGACGCATAAGAAAACTCAACGGGAAAGCGGGAGGCAGCAGGAAGGGGAGTGAGGGCAAGCGTACCCCGGCGGCGGGATGAGCGGGAGAGGCTGCGAAAGCTGGTCCTGAACCGCTTGACGGGAAACTGCTAGACGGAAAGCTGTTTGACGGGAAACCGTTGAAGGGGAAACCGTTTGACGGGAAACCGCTTGACGGGAAGGCGCTCGACGGGAAACCGCTTGACGGGAAGGCGTTCGACGGGAAACCCCTCAGCGGAGAAACGTTCGCTGAAAAAACGGTAGACGGAAAGCCGCTTGTCGGAAAACTGCTAGACATAGCGCAGAACGGGGAGGATGGGGGGAGAAAGCCTGCGACGCCTAGCGGGGAGGCGCCCGACGCGGCGCGGTGGCGCTTTGCGGAAGGCAGCGCCAAGGCCTCGTAGAGCGCCATTTTGTTCCGCGGGGGCGGCTTGGGCCCCGCCGCTACCGCTGCTGCCACGCTGCGCACTGTCCATCCGCGGAAACAGCGCCACTGGTTCCGCTGGTTGGTCTCTCCGACTCCTGCCGCTTCGATGGCTTGAATTCCTACTCATTCTTAACTACCGTCGTTTACCTCCTAGGGACTTGATAGAATGTCAGATTTGATATTTCGCACTATGGAGGTCGACCTGTCGAATAGGATAACAAGTAACTCTCGCTCCTTTCCCACTGATAAGATGTTTAGTGGAACACGCTGCGTAGCTCGAGCTGATCTAGAAAACCGTTCGGTCCTTTCGTTTACGGGCTATCTTGAAGAATTTATCTACAGCAACCGTCAAAACGAAAAAGTGGAAATGAATAAGCGACGGGGTCGTTATAGGCTTGGTCACGGTCGCTCCATCGATCGTGTCTAAGTTCCCTGACGTGCGAGAGTTAAGGTACTATGTAGAGACTGACGGGAGTAGCAGACAGACAGCGGCGAAGCGTAGAAGACGTGAAAGAAAGCGGAGGAGGCAAGAACGGAAGAGGATGCGGCTGGTTTACGGCGGCGACACGAATCATGGAAGATAAGCAAGCTGGAAGATAGATGAGGAGCAAGAAGCGAGGTGAGGAGGGAGGGAGGGAGGCTGGGGCGGGCGGAAATGAATGGACGACAGAGGCGGATGTAACTTGGTGGAATGGGCGGAAGAGGAGGAAAGAGATGGGATGAGTTACGATTAGATGTGGTGGGATGGGATGCGGAGGGATCAACGACGAGATGCACAAAATGGATGGATGTATTTCGGGAGGACGAGAAGCGAGGAAGGCAGAGAACGGGAATGGGAACTTCGAGAAAGTGCATCTAAAATATCTTCAAAAGTCGGAAAAAGTGCATCGAAAAATCGGGAAAACAAACATGCCATGGATTCTACATGGTCATCAAGCAAGTGAGCGCTTGACACGTGCACACAAAATCTTTCACTCTGGTCCGGGCTGGATCCAGCGGGTCAAAATGAAGCCTTGTTCCAGCGGCGCGAACTTTGTGGTCAGAATTCTGTAACCCTTGGTTGCTCCGGCTGGTTGGTAGCCTGGCGCAGTTGGGTGGGGTGGGGAGGGGTGGTTGCTGTGCTGTACAGTGTGGCGTTCATTCAATCCACCCATGAAGGTCGTGTTGCCAGGCAAAAAGCGTCGTGGCTGAAAACTGGCGGGATGTGTGCAGGAAAAGTACAGTACCTTTACCGAATTATCCGTATTTGTACAGAATATATATACATGCTAGTTACAAATGTTAGCTTGTCCTTGACCAGATACAAAAAACACATGTACACCAGAATGGGAGCACCACCCCGCTATACAAGCTCCCAGTTGTCACCAATGTCGGAATCATTATCTTCCCATGAATCTCCCAAAGACGAGCTGTCCATCTCAGGCACCTCCTTCACCGCATAGCTCGCCAAATCGGCCCTGTTGCCCACAGTGAGGAGTGGCGCACCTTCTGACAATCGTGCAAGCTGTTCAATCCGCTGGCACAGGTCCTCAAAGTCACCTGTGTAGTGAGAAGGGGATTGGCATCGGGAAGCAACGAGCGATACAGGTACGCATAAAACACAGACATGCAAAAGTGGCTTGTCAACCAAAGGTAGCGTGTCTTTGGGAGGCAACGGGAAACCCTCTAACAGATCGTTTCTGCAATAGCAAGCAGTGGGTTTCCTAGATTAAGAAACAAGCAAAAGCAGAGCTGTTACCTTGGGTTGAACAGTAAAAGCCGAGAGCCAGAGAGGAGTCCATCCCTGATAGAGGCATGCGCCGGACGGTGCTGCTGGGGGAAACAGTGCAAGGAACACGCATACATTTTCAGGCGGTAAACATAATGGCTCGTGTCAGATGGTGCTGCTCTTATGGGAAGGAAGCAGGAGAATAGAAAAGAATAGAAAATAAAAGAAAACAGAGTAAGCAAAAATGCACCTGCAATGGTAGGACGATGTGTCCACATGGTATGCACTGATTGGACCTTCAGGGAATGCAACAGCCTGCAGGGGGTAACCAAAAGAACAAGTGGTGGGTGGGCACTGGGTTAATCATAATGGATAACTACCAGAAAATGCAGGACACAAAGGTTGCATGTCACAATAAGCTGCTCTTCACCTGCTGAGAGTGATGCGGGGCCAGGAAGAGCCACATGCGCGGCTTGCCTCCCATGCCAATGTAACCTGGTAACCATGTGCTATCGTAACCTAGCAACCATGATATGTTACCTGCTGTGCGTAGTGCGGGTCCAGGAAGAGCACGTCGCTCTGGTGTGTGCCGATGAAATAGAGAGACGTGTGCAGCTTGCCTCGCGGTTGCACGCCATTGCTACCCTGTACTTACATGTGATGGTTACCTGGTTACAGCTTATAATTACCTGCTGTGGGTAGTGCGGGTCCAGAAACAGCACATCATTCTGGTGTGTGCCGATGAAGTAGAGCGACGTGTGCGGCTTGCCTCCCGCAATGCCCACGCTCTGGGGGAAGGTGAATGTGCGGCGCAGTGCCTCCTGGTAGCTGTGGGGTGGCAGGGGGCGAGGGATTGATGAGAAGCAACGGATGGGGTGGAAATGAGAGGAGGAAAACAGAAAAGACAAACGGTCTGGGGGAAGGCGAACGGGCGGCGCAGTAGCTTCTGGTGGCTGCAGGGTGGGAGGGTGCGAGGAGATGAGATGAGGGGAGCGATGGATTGACTGCAACCCTCAACGTGCACGGCAGCCTTTTGAGGCGCCTCAAAAGTTGCACGGCAGCCTCAACGTGCACAACAGCCTCAACGTGCACAACAACAGCCCCACCTCACCAGCCAGATTGTGCCACAGCAGTCTCACCGGGCGTCCATATGGTCGACACCGAGAACCAACGGCACCAGGATCAGCACCGCCCGCCATGCGCTCGCCTCGCCTCGTTCCTCATCTCCCCGCTCCCCTTCCCTCTCCCCGTCCCTCTCCCCCCATTGTTCCTCCAATGCTTCCCCACCTTCTGCATCCCTCCCCCCTCCCTTCCTCACCTCCCCTCCTCCCCCTCCTCCTCCCCCGCCACACAGAGCCATCACCTCGTCCACACACAGCATGGGCGCACCTCCCCCTCCCTCCCCCCCAGGGTGCGCCCCCACCACATGCACGCGCATGCCCCATAGCGGCCCCTCCTTGCCCCATAGCGGCCCCTCCTTGCCCCATAGCGGCCCCTCCTTGCCCCATAGCGACCCCTCCTTGCCCCAAAGTCTTCCTTCCTTGCTCCGTGTCAAGTCGCCAGCCTCCTCGCCGTTTTCTTGCCGCTCACCACAGTCTCTTCCCGCTCTTGGTTTTCTCACCATCCCTGCATCCCCATTCTTTTCCTCCCTTTCACTGTCCTCCCCTTCTTCTCCTCTCCCCGTCTCCACCTCACCCACACCACTCTCCCCTCCCCCCTTCTCCATCTCCCGAACCAAGCTCCCGAGCGTGACGCACAGCCGGTACGGCCCGAGCCACGCCCCAGCCTTGACGCCGAGCCTAGCGCCGCCCCGAACCAAATGGTGCAGAGAGAACGGGGAGAGTGGAGAGGGGGAGTCTGCAAAGAGGACGAACGACCTCGTGGTAGGCCTGGAGAGGGTGGGGAGGAGAGCATGTGGAGGAGAGCATGGGGAGGAGAGGATGGGGGGGAGAGGATGGGGAGGAGAGGATGGGGGGGAAGGGAGAGGAGGAGAGTTAGAGGGAGAGGAGAGGGGGAGTGGGGGAGAAAGGACGAGGGGAGCCGTATATGTGAGTAGAGGTATTAGAAGTAAGCTCGCTCTCCTGTTGGCATTGGAAAGGGAAAGTGCTTTGTAGCCTGTGGAGATCGGGCAAGTAGATCGGGCATAAATCATTGGGCGATAAAGCTGGGCTGAGTGCGAGTGTGGGAGGGGTGGGAGTGATGTGAGAGAGCAAGCATTTGGCATGCTCTTCCCCCCCTCACCTCTCAACCACCCCTCCGCTCACCTCCCCATCCCCATCACCCCTCCCATCTCCGCCTCCCCACTGCCCCCTCACCTCTCCCTCCCCAGCAGCCCTCTTAACCCGTTCCTCCCTCATGTCGCCTCCCCACTCTATCTCTCACCTCTCACCTCCCCCTCCTCTCACCTCCCCCTCCCCACCAACCCCCCCCACCTGCTCCTCCCTGCCAGCCTGTCGTCTCCACCGGCGGCCCAGGCGGTGGCACAGCAGGGCCTGCACAGCTCGGAGAAAGGAGAAAGAAGAACGATTTCTGAGAGTTTCAAAGATGGTGGAGGAGGAGGAAGACAATAGCTTCTGAGTCGCTTCTGAGTCGCTTCCAAGTCGTCTCCACTGGCGGCCCAGCAGGTGGCACAGCCGGGCCTGGGAGGGAGGGTGCAGGGAAGGTAGGAAGGAACAAAACAGAGGGACAACAGCCTATAAGATGTCTCCAGGACTCACAGCTGGGCTTAGAGGGCATGGGGAAGGAAGGATGAAACAAAACTGAGGGTCAATTCAACATATGGTGGCGCGACAGGGTGTGGAGAGCACAGGCAAGGAAAAACAACATCATATTGAATCATTTCAGAGTTGCCTCAAAAGCTGGTTGCACAGCAAGGGCCTGGAGGGCACAGCAAAAGGGGAGATGGAAAATAGACAGGGAAGGGGAAATGGAGGAGGGAAAACAACAACAGCAGTATTAAGGGCAAAAAATCCGTTGCAAGACTGAGGATGCCCATCGTACCTGTGCGAGCAGCATCTGGCCTGTGCGGAACATGCAGCAAAATCCTGTGTTCGCGGTAAAGACAGCGCCAGCACCGCCACCAGTGGCACCATCTGTGCCAGCACCAGAGCGAGACGTTACCTGAGCGAGCATCATCTGGCCGGTGCGGAACATGCAGCCCCACCCCGTGTCCGTGGTGAAGCCAGGACCACCACCACCACCAGTAGCACCACCACCAGTAGCAGCACCACCACCGCCAGTAGCAGCACCAGCACCAGTAGCAGCACCACCACCGCCAGCACAGGCGCCAGCAGCAGCGGCAGCGCCACCAACACCAGCAGCAGCAGCAGCAGCAGCGCCATCAGCAGCAGCAGCAGTGCAGGGCAGAGGGGGGAAGCCCCAGCGGTACGTCATCCATAGCCTTGACTGCACGTCCACCACCAGGTCCTCCCACGAGCCCCCACTCATACCCTCCTCCCCGTGCCCCCCCACTCCTCCCCTCCTCCCGTGCCCCCCCACTCCTCCCCTCCTCCCGTGCCCCCCCACTCCTCCCCTCCTCCCGTGCCCCCCCACTCCTCCCCTCCTCCCGTGCCCCCCCACTCCTCCCTCCTCCACTACCTCACTTCTCTCTCCACTGCTCCTCTCCTCTAACCCCTCTTGTTCCCCACCTTCCTCCCTCCGACCACCCTTATCCCGCTCATATTCCTTCTCCCTCACACCCTCTCGCCCTTCCTCCCTCGCCAAACCTCCACCTCCTTCCCGCCCTTTATCCCTCCCATCAACCCTCCCTCCGTCTCTACCCTCATCCACGTCATTCACCACATCCCCGCCTTCCCTTGCTCCACTCCCCTCACCCCTTCCCCCCTCTCTCCTCCCCTCAGCCCCCTCCCCTCTCCTCGCCTCCCCCTCCCCTTCCCCACCCCCCTCCTGCGCCTCCTCTCGCCCCACCTCCTCGTCCTCCCACTCTGCGTATCGCACTCCCAGCACCCACACCGCCTCGCCGCACGCCAAGTCCGGTTGCCTGTGGCACGGGTGGGAAACACGGAACAAACAAGAGTCGGACAACCAAGAGAAGAAGAATGAGATCGCACGTGCGGACGAAGGATTACAGCAGAATAAGCCTCTACAAGAGCTTGCCTTCGAGAATAAATAAAAAATCAGAGTCTGCTTTCATGCCTCACCTGTTTACCCCTCAACCCACAAACCGCCACCATGAACCTTTCCAGTCGATGGCCCCTACAACAATTCATCCCTCCCTACCTGAACCCACCTCTCCCCACCCCTCCTCACCCACCTCTACCCCTCCCCGCCTGTATCTACCACTCCCCACCTGCATCTACCCCTCCCCACCTGCATCTACCCCTCCCCACCTGCATCTACCCCGAGCATCCTTCACACTCCACCAGGAGTGCCTCAGGCAGACCAGGAGGGCTCTGGGGCAGCTGAGCACGCACGCACACAGGGGGGAGGGAGAGCACCGGGGCAACCACGGATTGCACCCTATTTGTAAGCTCCCACCACTCATGTCCTGATAATAAAATCACCCTCTTGTATGAATGATATGAACTCTCACACACACAATCCCTCATCCCATGATACTAACACACAAAATCCCCCGACTCAAATTGTTCCCCCACACCACTCCCCTCTCTTCTCCCTCTCCCACCCTCCCCCTCCTTTTTTACTGACCTGGTAAAAACGTCCTGTATCCGCCGAAGCTGCAGCGAGTGGACCAGATTAGACGCAAGCAAGGCCAGGGACGACCGAGCCTCGCCTGCAGGTTCGGAATCCATGGCGCGGGTCAACGAGCCTAGGAGATCCGTGGAGCCCAGTCCCGAGGATTCCAGCCAATCACGGAGCTCCATGGAGAAGCAGGGGGCAGAGATGGTGCGGAAGAGTCCTTCCGCTGCCGTGGATGGTGGTAAAGCAGCAGACGCGTCGGCATCAGAAAAAACGCTGTCAAAAGAAACGGCGACTGTAGCAGCAGCATCAGAGTCCTCAGGAGCCGTAGCAGCAGTGACGGCAGAAGCGTCAGAGGAAGATGCACCAACAGCGGTAGCAGCAGCGACGCGAGGAGGAAGCGGGGAACCTGAGCGGCCTGAATTGTCCATGGTGCTTTGGAACCCGCTTAACCAGGCTGCGAGGGATGGCGACGTGGACGAAACAGTAGTAACCAGCTGCTGCAACGCACTGTACGCTGTCTCCTGTTCGCTCTCTCGCCCATCCTCTCTTTCCTCCCTTCCCCCGTCCGCAACCTGCGTCACCAGATTTTCCTCCTCTCTTGACTCGGACTTCCCATCTTCGTACTCCCTATCTGGATTTCCAATTTCAACAGCGACACGAGATTCCATTCCACATAAAAGGGATTACCATGCAAAGACCGACCGACCGGCTATAGTACCGACCGGCTGAAGCACGCAAAGTGGCTGCTAGAAGAGGAATTTAAGACGGTCACGGATCACTGCCATGTATGGTAGGGGATTCAAGGTACATCCTGGCTAATCCCGAAGCCTAGTTCTGAACAAGAAACTGATCGAAGCGAGCTACGGTACTGTCCGGCTGAACCACTCGAAGGGTGACTGCTAGAAATAGAAACCTGGGGCGACCACGAACCACCGCCATGCTTCATCTCTACGCCTCTAGCTCTGGTATGAGAGTGAGTGCTGGTGATGGATATGGCAGAGACATTCGCTGCTGGAGTACGGAGGTCCCAAGAGGGAACGTACAACATTGATAACTCGACAGTTCGGATTACTGTACTGTTGCATTGATACATAAGGGCCCTACTGTTACGAGTGCAATTGAGTGAACGAACTAGAATTGCACTATCGAAGCAAGAATACAATGAGCGAAGGCATGAGCGAAGAATATATAGCGAAACTACAGTGGTAACGGTAATGGTCGCGCGACGAGCCTGGGACTGAGGTTTGGAAAGTGTCGAAGCGTAGGCCCGGAGCGCGGGTTACCAGCCGAGCCGTGAGGTCGGGATGCGATGTGCGAAAATGGCGGGATGATGAATGATGCGATGGTCGCGAGTGGTAACGGTGCTGACTGAGGTGCTACAGTGATGTACGCGTTGAGCAGGGATGCGGAGTAAGGAAAAGGGAATTTCCTTACACTACCCCCCCTCCTAAGGAGGTCCTCTTTACGAAAGCGCGTGGACGTCTTTGAAGTTTCGGCTGCGCAGATAGTCGGTGACGACAGGGTGGTTTTCAACTTTGTCCAGGGGAACCCAGTTGTCCTCGGTGGGTGTACGATCTTTCCAGCGGATCAGGAACTCAACTTTTCGGGCTCCTCGAGGGTCGCGAACTCTGTGGCTCAAGATTTTGTCGGGGGTGATGACTGGTTCGGTTGGTGGTCGTGTCATGCTGGGTGGTCGATGTCGTGGGAGTTGGCTGGTGGATGGTACGTAAGGGCGAAGCAGGCTGACGTGGAACGAGGGGCTGACGTACCAGTCAGCAGGAAGGAGGAGGTGCGCGGTGACAGGTGTGATCATGTGACTGGTTCGAAATGGCCCACAGTATCGAGGGCGGAGTTTGGGAGTGATGGGCAGGCGGAGGTTCTGAGTGTCGAGTAAAACGAGGTCATCGGACTGATAAGTGACGGGTCTGCGGTGGCGATCGGCGTTGCGTTTAGCGATGATATTTGATTTTTTAATTGCTTCCGTTGCCCTGGTCCGTGCTGCTTCCAAAATCTCGGCGAACTGTTGTGCGCGTGGAACGAGATTGTCGGGATTCGGTGTCATGGGTACTGTTGGGCCCTGTCCGTAGTTCAAGTAAAATGGCGACTGTTGGGTCGTGACCGATGACGCATTGTTGTATGCGAACTCGATGAGGGGCAGCTGCTGCTCCCACGTGTTTGGATCGTCGCACGTGGCTCGAATCAGCTGCTCCATAGTCTGGTTTGTCCGTTCTGTCTGTCCGTCGGTTTCGGGGTGATAGGATGAACTGAATTGAAGTCGCGTGCCGAACTGCTGCCACAGGTTCCACCAGAAATTGCTGGTAAACTTCGTGTCCCTGTCGCTGATGATCGACGCTGGTATCCCGTGCAGTCGAACGACGGTGGTGATCAGGGCTGACGCTATCAGAGTAAATAGTCTGATTAGTCTGACGGATCAGACCATCGAGTTTGTGAAAAATGGAATTCCAGAGTAGTCAAATTTTCATCACTGAGAGCCTCAGAGTTATTGTTTTATGGCCCCTGATTCAGTGTAATAGGCCTCAGTGTTAGTCATTTCTGGAGTCTGTCACTACAGAGTATGCGTTCTGTGGTCCCTGCATGCAAGTTTATCGGGAGGAAGCTTCCTCGAAATTTCCTTTCGATACACCCACCTCCGAGGTTCACTAGTGAGGGTCAAACTGGTGAGTCAAACCCGTCTTGACTGGTCACAGCACCAGCGTCATTAAAAATTCGCGTTGACAAAGCGAATTCGCGCCGTACGGAGCAACGAATTTGCCCAATCACAGCGAAATGGCCCTGACACAGCAGATTTGAGCTGTCATTGCACAAAGGTCTAGACCAATCACAGTAAAATGTATCTGACATTGCACATTCGCCCTTTCACAGAACAGATTCGCCATCAAAGTTCAGTTTCGATAATGCACAGCGCGTTACTACACGTACCCTGATCGTGACTTCTCGACCCTAAACACTCAGACTGTATAACTTCCCAACACTAAGCAATCAGGGTGCTGCTTTTCTGGAAAATATGCCTTCAGGGTTCATTTTTTTTTTTTTTTGTGGACATCAGGGTACCTAAATTTGAAACGTCAGCCCTGGTGGTGATGAAGAGTCGGGCTGTTTCCTCGGCTGTGATTGATTTCCTGCATGCTGCGAAATGTGTTGAAAATAGGACGAGAATGGATGAACTATGAATGAAGTGAGTACAAATAGGAAACCCTAACTGGGTTGTACCCCATATGGGATACCCCACTACAGCCTACACAATAGTATAAGCTATATATATATGTTCTGACACACCCCCATAGGCAAAGTGGGGGAGAACAAGGGGTCACAAGACCAGTCAAGCAAGACAAAGCAAAGCTCAGGGTGGATCACAAAGTCACCACACAGTCCGAGCACAAGAGCAAGGCCAAAGGCCAGTTCACATGCAAGAGTACAGACATATATATAAAGCTAGACAAGCAAGAGCCGGTATATATATGTCACAGTACAAGTAAAGTCAAGAGGAGAGCAAGTGAGGCAAGACAAGCACAAGACCCAGCTGGGTTGCAGAAGCGCTGATGGTCACAAGGCGCAAGTGCCTTGGTGAACACATCAGCAGTGTTGGCCTCAGAGGCCACGTACGCAAGCCGCAACTGTCCACGGTGCTGTAGCTCACGAGCAAGGAAGTAGCGAAGAGCAATGTGCTTCGTTCTGTGCTCCAGACGCTGCTCTCGACACAAGGCCAGCATAGCCTTGTTGTCTACGTACAGCACTGGAGGAGAACGAGGCGGCTCTCCAAGGTCAGTCAGCAGGTAGGTGAGCCAGCAAAGTTCCTGTGCAGCCATGGCCCCTGCGTAGATCTCAGCCTCACAACTAGAGCTGAGAACCGAAGACGAACGAGTAGCCCGCCACGAGACAAAGCCGGAACCAAGGCTGAAGGGTGTAACCCTGTGACGACCGCTGCGTAGCCTGGTCGTCAGCCCAAGAAGCGTCCGCGTGACCTGTAAGGACCACTGGACTCCGCCCTCCAAGCACTAGCCCCATGCCCGACGTGCTGCACAGGTAGCGCAATACCCTCTTCGCTGCAGCCCTGTGCTCTGGTCGGTGTCTCCCAGGAGCAACATAGCGTGCAAGAATGCTCAGAGGGTATGCAAGGTCAGGTCGTGTGCAGGTCATCAGGTACATGAGGCAGCCAACAAGCTCTGGGTACGGGCCACTCGACTCTACGGACTCATCCGAAGGCAGAGCTGAGAGCGAGTGGCGGGTAGACAGAGGAGTGGCCTGAGGCGAGGAGTACGTGAAGCCGAAGCGCTGAAGGACCTGCTGCACCATGTGTGACTGAGTCAAGGTAATGGTGCGGCGTGCTCTGTCCCGAGTGATCTGCAAGCCAAGGTAGCTGCGAAGTTCACCCAGGTCTGTGCACGTGTGTCTCTTCAGCAGCTCGGACTTCACGTAGGCGAGTCCAGCAGTGTCCGCTGTGGCAAAGACCAAGTCGTCGACGTACACGAGGATGTAGAACGGCGGCAGTGAAGTGTCGGTGCGCAGAAACAGCGATGGGTCAGCAGTAGAAGGAGCAAACCCAAGAGCCGCAAGCGTAGTCCTCAGTGTGTCGTGCCACTCACGCGGTGCCTGGCGGAGACCGTAGACTGGCTGTCGGAGGCTCCACTGGGTGCCAGGAGGGAAAGTCCCAGTGAAGCCAGGTGGACGGCGCAGCCAGATCTCCTCGTGCAGGCTACCCTGCAGGAACGCAGTGCTGAAGTCGAGAGAGTGAAGCTCGTAGTCACGCTGAGCGGCTATGTGTAGCAGCACCCAAAGAGTAGTCATCTTCGGGGTGGGAGAGAAGGTCTGAAAGTAGTCAACTCCCTGCCGGTGACTGAAGCCACGAGCGACGTACCGCGCCTTGAAGACAGGTGGAGAGCCTGGCGGCCGCTTCACCCTGAAGATCCACATGCCACTGACGATGTTCGCCCCAGGAGGGGGAACCGCGTCAACGTAGGTGCCTGTGGACTTCCAGGAAGCCATCTCTGCATCCATAGGTGCCTGCCACTGAGAGGAGTAGGGACCCTCTACGGCCTCCGCGTAGGAGCGCGGAGTCGGGATGTCTAGTGCATCCAGGTCTCCCTCAGGAGCAAGCAGTACAGACGCGAGATGAGGTGAAGCAGCAGCCAGACACTGTAACTCCTCTTGCCTGTCCTCTAGGACGTCCGTGCCAAGAGCACACTCACCCCCCACGAACGGAGGACAGACAGACGCAGACTCAGCAACAAGACTAGCAGCGTAGTCTAGACGACAGCGAGCAGCAAAGTCGACGAGCTCAGCGACAAGAGCAGACGCAGCAGTGGACTCAAAAGAGGGGTCAGTGACGACAGTAGCAAGGAGACGCGTGACAGTAGGACTGGCAGCACGAAGGGAGTCCGACTCAGGGTCGGCAAGCGCAGGAAGAGAGGACTCAGGAGGAGAAGGCAAAGGGGCACGCAGAGGAGCAGTGGACGGACGCAGAGACATCCGGTGCGTGCCAGGGACAGGAGGAGGACGCTGACGCGAACCGCGACCACTAGCGCGAGCAGCACGAACAGGCGACGCGGGACGAGACGCAGGCTCACGACGCTCAGCAAGACCTCCAGTAGGACCAGTGTAAGGAGAGGGAGCAGGCAGTGGGGAGGAAGGCTCCAACAGTGACTGCGACTTGACAGGCTGTGGACACTCTACCGGAGGAGAAAGACCAAGAACCTGCTGCAGGAGCGGAACGAAGTACGGACGAGGCCGCGCGTCAGCTCCATGCTCAGCAGGGACAGCACCAGCACCCTCAGCGGCAGGACCTTCAGCAGCACCAGCAGCAGAACCACCTCCAGGACAGACAGCTGGAGTCTCAGCACCAACACCTCCAGCAGCTCCAGCTCCAGTAGGACCCGCAGGCCCAGCAGCTCCGGGACCGGCGGCACCAGCACCCTCAACGGTCGAAGAAGCTCCAGCTCCGGCAGTACGCCTCCAGCGGCGAGCAAACCACTCGCGCAGCTCCTGTGGAGAGAGGGGCTCCCGCCGAGACGCAGCACCAGGAGAAAACCCAGGCTCAGCAGCCCCAGACGCAGCACCCCCAGGCTCAGCAGCTCCAGACGTAGCACCCCCAGGCTCAGCAGCTCCAGACGTAGCACCCCCAGGCTCAGCAGCTCCAGACCCAGCACCCCCAGGCTCAGCAGCTCCAGACTCACACCCCCAGACTCAGCACCCCCTAGCTCAGCAGCTCCAGGCACAGCACCCCCCGGCTCAGCACCCCCAGGCCCAGCACCCTCCGCAGTAGCACCCCCAGGCTTGGCACCCCCGCGCACAGCACCCCCAGAGTCAGCACCCCCAGGCTCAGCACCCGCAGCAGCACCAGAGTCACCAGGAACCTCGACCGGGTCAACTGCGTCTACCTGGGACACACCTGAGGGGGCAGGAACCTGAGGGGGGAGGGGGTCTTCCGGGGGGGGAACCGGCACAAGGAAGTCCGGTGGCGGGGGAAGGGAAGGAGTGCGGTAGGGGAAGAGGCGGTAGAAGGGGACTGACTCGTCGAACGTGACGTCCTGGGAGGACAGAACACGACGAGAGGAGGGGTGGTAGAACTGCCACCCTGGAGCGTCAGGGGGGAAGCCAAGGAAGACACAGGGAGCAGCACGAAGGGACAGCTTGTCCGCAGACAAGTCGCGGACAAACGCCCGAGATCCCCAGACACGGAACGCAGACGCATCGCCAACCTTCCCCGTCCACAGCAAGACTGGGGACATCGCAGGCCGAGAGACCCTGGGGTGAAGGTTGAGCTGATGCGCCGCGTACCAAACCGCAAACGGCCACAGAAAATGGGGGGCAGCCGCATGCATCATGGACGTACGAGCGACATCCATGACCATGCCAATGCGGCCCTCAGCAATCCCATTTTGCTGTGGAGAGTCCGGAAGCGTGAAGGTCTGGCGGATCCACCGTGCACGACAGTAGTCTCGCAGAAGGCGAGAGGAGAACTCCCCGCCTCTGTCCGAGTGCAGACGCAGAACAGGAAAGTCCGAGCTGAAGCTCCTCCTGAGCTGGAGACGAGCCTCGCGGATCCAGTCGATCAGCACCTCAGTGACAGCACCCTTGCTGCGCAAGGGGAGGACTGTGGTGTAACGCGAATAGTCGTCAACCACCAACAGGAAGTAGCGCTCGTGACCCTGCCCACGGACGGGGGCCGGGCCCCACACGTCCATGTGAAGTGTCTGCAGAGGAGCCTCTGTCGGGGGGAACTGGGAGGAGTGAGGAGCAGCCCGGAGGCGCCCCTCGACACAGGGGACACAGGAAGGTCCTGGCCCCGAAGGAAGGGGAGGGAGAGACTGGGGAAGACCAGAGACAAGGACACGGGAAGCCATGCTCCGAAGACGGGGCAAGGAGGGGTGGCCCAGACGGTGGTGCCACAGGAGGGTCTCGTGAGACAAGAGGCGACACAAACAGGGGGCAGACTCAGGGCCAGACCGGGACGCAGCAGCAAACACCTGACTTGACGCAGCTACCTGACCAGACGCAGGGACAGGAGGAGACGTAGTGGTCAGGGTGTAGAGGCTCGACCCCGGCCGACGCGAGAACGTGGCCAGGTGCCGGCCTGTGCGTGCGTCCGTGTAGTGGGTCACCCGCTGACTCGCAGGAGTGAACTGGTGAACCCCCGCATCCTGTAGGTCTGCACCACTCACCAAGTTCGTCGAGAACGAGGGAAGGTACAGACCAGACAGGGTGCCCGAGGGGGCAGCCGGACACGGGAGGACAGTGGAAAAGTGAGAGAGGACAGGACCCCCAGAGGGGTCAGCCAGGGAGACTGCAACCGGCCGACTAAGCGGCGTGAGGGTGGTTGCGGTCTCGAAAGAAGGAGCGAGAAGCCCCGGAGTCAAGTGTGAAAGTGAGGGAGGACGAAGGCGACGCAGTACCTGAGAGCGCAGTCTCACCAGTACCTGAGAGCGCAGACGCACTGGCACCTAGAGCCGCAGCCTCACAAGCACCTAGCGCAGCAGTACCAATGCCCGGGTCGGGCGGGAAACACCAGTAACAGTCACCCTCCTCACAAATAGTCACAGCATACATAGCAGCAAGGATAGCATCAAAGTCAAGATCAAAGATCGCTACACCAGCCCTAAGAAGCTCATCCCAGCGGGGGATCTCACTAGCCTCGGGGAACTGCTGACGCCAAGCGTCCGTCAGGCGGCCAAAGCAGCGCTGGGTGGGGTGGGCACCCCCACACTGCTCACCTGCGCGATCGCCGGAACGAAGGACGTAGGCACACGGACCAGCACCCGCACCCCTCTGACGCCGAGCGTACCACTCACGGAGCTGTTGGGGCGGAGGGATGTCCCGCAAACGCTGCTGCTGCTGCTGCTGCGGGCGCTGACCACCACGACCGCCGCTCCGCTGCTGGGTACCACCCCGACCAGCTCCACCCCCTCCGCCACCACCGCCTCCTCCTCCGCCCCCTCCACCGCCTCCACCGCCACCGCTGCCGCCACCACCACCGCTGCTGCCACCTCCGCCGCCTCCGCCGCCGCTGCCACCACTACCACTGCCACCCCCTCCACCACTCCCGCCGCCACCCCCACTCCCCTCCGCCGCCTCCACCGCCACCTCCACCGCCCCCTCCAGCTCCACCCGCGCCCTTGCCCCCCTTGCCCTTGCCAGAGCGGCGTCGCCCACTAGGGGCAGACGCCGCGCCGACCGACTCAAGACCAAGCAGGTCGGCAGCAGCAGCAGAGGCAACAGAGGGCAGTAGGGGGGAAGGAGAGCACCCCTCAAAGATGGGGGTGCGAGGGTCACCCCGAGAAGCTCCTACAGCGAGGATGCTCTTCTCCGCCGCGAGGAGGGCCTTCTCGAGGAGGTCGACAGTGAGGGTGGTGGGACAGACTGCGAGAAAGTGGTCCCTGACTACGCGAAGAGAGTCAGGGAGGCGCGCGACTACGTAGTAGAGAGTGATGTACATGGGGGGGGGGTTCTTGGCGCAGAACTCAGCAGGAAGGGCGGCGCGGTAGCGAGTGTCACTAGTGCGGAGGTGCGTAATGAGGTCAGCGACAGTGGGAAAGGCAGAGAGGTCAGGAAAGAGGTAGGGAAGAATGAGACGGCTCATTGCAGCAGTGGCAGGGGAAGAGTAGCGCGCAACTACAGCGTCGTACAAGGTCTGAGCACTCTTGTAGTGACTAAAGTGCGCGCGCTCGGAGGTAGGGAGGTGGCGACGCACAGCAAGACGTGCAGCAGCATCGCGGGTAGCCCATTGAGAGCGCACAGTGGGATCAGCATCAGCAGCAGGGGCAGGAGAGGCGCCAGAAGTGAGGTCAAAGAGAGAAAGGCCGTCTGCTCTATCGCACTGCAAGAACAGCTGCAAATCGTCGACCCAGACCTCAAAGTCAATGGCGCGACCCTCAGTGTCAAAAGCGAGGACACTTGGGGTAGCCATGACAGCAGTAGACGGTCTCACCAGACAGGACGGGTCGGGCAGCGCAGTAGCACAGCAGCACAGCAACACAGCAGCTCAACCGGCTCAGCAGCAACAGTAGCCTCGCAGGACCAGCGGCTCGGCTCCTCAGGCGGTGCAGGCGGCTCGGGCGGCTCGGGCGGCTTGGGCGGCTCGGGCGGCGCGGGCGGCTCGGGCGGCTCGGGCAGTCAGCGGCACAGGCGGCTCGGCTCCTCAGTTGCGGAGACGGCTCGGGCGGCTCAGGTCGCACGGCGGCTGGCGGGCGGCGTGGGGGGCCGGGACAGCGTCGTGCAGCAGGGACGGGATGAGCGCGGCCGGGACGGGCGGCACAGGGCGGCTCGGGACCGGGTCGGGCGGCGCGCGGGCGGTGAGGGGCCGGGACGGGCGCGCGTGGGTGGCTAGGGGCCGGGACGGGCGCTCGAGGGCGGTGAAGGGCCGGGACGAGCTCGCGTGGGCGGCTAGGGGCCCGGACGGGGCGCGCGTGGGTGGTTAGGGGCCGGGACGGGGCGCTCGAGGGCGGCTAAGGGCCGGGACGGGCTCGCGTGGGCAGCTAGGGGCCGGGACGGGCGTGCGTGGGTGGCTAGAGGCCGGGACGGGCGGCGCGCAGGTGGCGAGGGGGCCGTGACGAGCGGCGCGCGGGCGGCTGTGGGCCTGAACGGGGCGGCGCGTGCGCGTCTAGGAGCCCTGACAGGCGGCGCGCTGGCGGCTAGGGGCCTGAACGGGCGGGCGCGCTGGCGGCTAGAGGCCTGAACGGGCGGCGCGCTGGCGGCTAGGGGCCTAAAACGGGCGGGCGCGCTGGCGGCTAGGGGCCTGAACGGGCTGCACGCGAGCGGCTAGGAGCCCTGACAGGCGACGGCCGTGGGCGGCTAAGGGCCGGGACGGGCGGCGCAGCGGGCGGCTAGGTGCCTGAACGGGCGGGCGCGGGCGGCTAGGTGCCGAGACGGGCGGTGCGCGGGCGGCAAAGGGCGGCTCGCGCGGGCGTCTAGGGGGGCCGCAGGGCAGGCCAAAATGGAGAGAGCAAGGGCCCGGAGCGCGCTCCCGGGCAGAAAAAAAGTTTTGAAGGTGGTGGGCCCTAAGCACAGTTCCCGCGGGGGAACCTGCTCGATACCATGTTGAAAATAGAACGAGAATGGATGAACTATGAATGAAGTGAGTACAAATAGGAAACCCTAACTGGGTTGTACCCCCTATGGGATACCCCACTACAGCCTACACAATAGTATAAGCTATATATATATGTTCTGACAAAATGTGCCATTTTTGTTAGTCGATCGACGACGACCAGGATCGCGTCATGCCCACTCGCCCCAGCCGGTAACCCCGTGACGAAGTCCATCGTCACCTGCTGCCAAGCACCCTCTGGGGGTGGGATTGGTTGCAATTGTACCGCCGGCCGCTTCCTGCTTGACTTCATGAGCTGGCAAGTGGGACACGATGCCACGTGTCGTTGCACGTCGGTCAACATTTCCGGCCAGTAGTAGTACCGCTGCAGCTGCTGCCGTGTTTTTCTACTCCGAAATGTCCCGAGGTTACTCCGTCGTGTGCCTCCTGTAACAGTAGTTCCCGTAGTAGTGTGTACCCTGGTACCCAGATGCGGTCGGTTCCAACTTTTACGTAATAGACTCCCTTGGCTGCTACAAACTTCTGCGAATTTCCTCCTGTGAAGAATGGGTCTGTTTGATATCCGTAGGTAAATAGTCCTGTCAGTAGCGGGCTGGTCTAAGCGAGTAGTATCGCATGGATCTGGGCAGTGGGGCGGGTCAGTGCGTCGGCGATGTTCGAGGCTCCTTTTTTATATGTGACCGTATAGTGGAAATTCGACTCGAGGAAATCGAGCCACCGAATCTGTCGTGGGTTGAGGTGGGGCTGTGCTCGAAGGTACTGTAGTGATCGATGGTCTGTCCGTACTGTCACGTCTGCGCCGGTCAAGTAGCAACGCCATACTTTGAATGCGTGCACGATCGCGAGCATTTCGCGGTCGTGTATCGGGTAATTTCGCCTCAGGTGGATGTAGCTTGCGTGATTCGTAGGCGATGGGTTGGAGGCCATTGCCGAAGTCCTGTAACAGTATGGCTCCGATGGCGATGTCACTCGCGTCGGTAACAACTTCGAAGGGGCGGTGTGGGTCAGCGATGCGTAGGACGCGTGGTGAACAGAGAACATTTTTCAGGGCAGAGAAGGCAGCATGCTCTTTCTCCCCCCACGTAAAAGGGACCCCCTTACGCAGTAAATCAGTGAGCGGGGCTGTTAAGCGTGCCATGTCGGGGACGAACCGTCGAACGTAATTAACAAACCCTAAAAAACTCTGAAGTTCCGTGATGTTCGTCGGTGGGTGCCACGCTTTTACGGTAACCAGCTTCTTAGGGTCGATTTCTACCCCAACCTCCGAAATAACGTGTCCTAAAAACTCTAGTCTGTCCCGAAAAAACTCGCACTTGGAGCCCTTGGTGAGTAACCGATGTTCCTCTAAAACCTTAAAAACTGCTTCGAGATCTACTAAGTGCTGCTGCTTGTCCCGACTGTAAACGAGGATATCGTCGAGGTAAACTATCACGCATTTATCTAAAAGTGGCCTAAACGCCTCGTTCATGGTCATCTGAAATGTTTGCAGGCGCGTTGGTCAGCCCGAAAGGCATCACTGTGTACTCGAATGACCCGTACCTAGTCCTAATTGCTGTCTTGGCGCAGTCCGATGGTTCGACCCGAATCTGATGGTAACCTCCCCGTAAGTCGATTTTCGAAAATACTCGTGCTGTTCGCAGCTGGTCGATCAGTTCGTCGGCGCGGGGGATGGGGTATCGTGATTTGACTGTTACCCTGTTAAGCGCTCGGTAGTCGATGCACATGCGAAAACCCTCCGTCTTTTTTTCGGTGTGAACAGTATCGGTGCGGCGAATGGTGACGAGCTCGGTCGGATAAACTGCTTCTCTAACAGGTAATCTAACTGCTTCCTTAGTTCGTCGAGCTCGGGCTGTGTCAGTCGAAATTGGCGCTGTACAGTTGGCTGTGCCCCCGGTTCTAATTCGATCCTATGGTCATGCGCCCGCTGAGGTGGCAGCCCTTGCGGTAAGTCATCCGGAAAGATACACGGGAACCGTTTCAGTAGTGCCTGTAGTTTCGGGCGGTACGGCTGCCAACGGTTTCTGAAAATCACTCGGCTGCTCCTCTTTTTCCACTAATGCGATATCCACTGCGTACACGTCAGCTCCAGCAGTGACAGCCCGTTTCATCGTGATGGCGTTGACCTGGACCGTCGAAGACTCGGGTGGCTGCCAGCGATGGTAGGACGACCTAGTTACCACTACTTCGCACTATGCAGCTACCCGTCGTCCAGTCAATTCGTGGGTTATACCGTCGCAGCCATTCACGTCCCAATAAAATGTCGTGCCCATCCAGTGTCGTTGCGAGCATTTCCTGTGTAAACCCGAAGTTCCCTCCGCAACGGGCTTTTACTCTCTCCACCTTTTCCCGTATAGCCACTGGCGTGCCGTCGACTAAGCGTGCATCTATCTCAGGTAAGCATCGGTTAAGTGTCAACTGTAATTTCCGTGCGGTCGCGGTATTAACTAAGCTGTGACTTGCTCCTCCGTCAATAAAAATCTTCACTGCTGCTCCCTGTATTTTCCCGTAGATCAGTACTGGGCAATCCGTCGCTGTACCCTCCTTATTCATCCGAGCCCGATCGATGGCGTGAATCGGTACTGTGACTCGGTGAGGGTCGGTGTGGTTGGGCGAGCAGGCAGTCTCGTCAGTAGTTGGCCCAACTTCTACTGACTGCTGGCGTTTCCCTGCCTCCTTCCCCTGCTCTGCTCCTCGACGCCTCAGCTCCTCTGGACATTCGCTCTTGCGATGGCCCGGCCGGTTGCAAGCAAAGCAGCGCCCTCTAAACGGCGCGGCAGCTGCATTCGCTACGACGGCATGTACAGTGGCGTGCTCGGTCGGTCCCGAGGACGATGTCCGGAATAGGACCCCAGTCCTCGGTCGGCGTAGGATATCGATTTTCTCGGCCGAGCGCGAGGATCTCGTTGAAATTCGTCAGTAGTTGGCTCGACTTCTACTAACTGCTGGCGTTTCCCTGCATCTGAGACTCCCTCCCCTGCTCTGCCTCCTCGGCGTCTCAGCTCCTCTGGGCCTTCGCTCTTGCGGTGGCGCCGGCCTGTTGCAAGCAAAGCAGCGCCCCTTAACGGTGCGGCAGCTGCATTCGTTGCGACGCATGTACTAGTGGCGTTGCTCGGTCGGTCCCCGAGGACGATGTCCGTAATAGGACCCCGGTCTCGGTCGGCGTAGAATGTCGATCTTTCTCGGCGAGCGCGAGAATCTCGTTGAAATTAGAGAGTCCGCGCAGCATTATCTCGTGCGAGATGTCCGGCTTCAGCCCTCCGACGTAACGGTCCACCCGCTCGCTTCGTGCATGTAGCCGACCTGCTCGCAAAGTGCGGAGAAACCGCTGGTATAGTCTTGAACTGACCCGAGCTGGCGCCAAGTGCGCAGTTTTCTGACGCGCCGAAATTGAAGCCTGGCGATCGGCTCAAAACGCGCCCGAAGCCCTGCCGCACCACGCATCCCACGTGCTGTATTGGGCGGTCTCGCAGAACGAACTCCAGGTGACAGCTGGACCCGAGGGCCCTTCCTCGTGCCGGACGGTGGCTCGTAGGCGCGTGGCGACGTCACGATGACTTGCCACCAGTCCATGGCGGGGCACCTTAGCAGTGAAACCGCATACCGGATCTTTGCGGCGTCCGACTCGACGTAATTGGCGTCGAAGAAAACGTTCATCGTGAAAGACCCACGATTGAACTGTCCGGACCGCCGCGTTTGACTTGGGTCGAAGCAGGGCGTGGCGTTGCGGCTTGAGCGGCATTGGTGCCATGTTGGAGTGTTCGCCACTTGTCGCCGCAAATTTCACGTGCCGACGGACTTCTCGGGGCTCACGTGGGCTTGGTGCGATCCTGTTTCCTCCCATGCCAGCATCGGCTGGGCGGCGCCCTCACTGGCTGCGCCTGAGCGTTGTCCCGTGCTGTCGTGTTGTGTTGGTGTGCCGGACGAGATGATGATCGGCTCGGTCCGAATGTGCAGATGCGTTTGTTGGTGCGTGGGATGTCGTCGGTATGTTCACCGTAGACTGTTGACGGGCGGAGTCACGTTCCGCCGTGAGAGTCGCGGATTTCGAGCGCCGAGTCCTCCAGTTGACGCACGAGACGATCGAGTTGCTCTTGCGTCAATGTGGCGAGCGTGAAATCGGCCATGGCGGGGATGTCGGGCAAGCTCAGCGAGAGCCTCGGTCGTGGCCGTGCGTGCTTGCAAGAGAGCACTACGAGCGGCGGTTGCTGTATCGCTGAGAGACGTCTACCCCCCCCAAAAAATTGAGATAGTGGGAAGCGAAGGTGTGGATGCGGTCCGAGATGAGATCGTAGGCTCTGAATACCAAGTGTTACGAGTGCAATTGAGTGAACGAACGAGAATTGCACTATCGAAGCAAGAATACAATGAGCGAAGGCATGAGCGAAGAATATATAGCGAAACTACAGTGGTAACGGTAATGGTCGCGCGACGAGCCTGGGACTGAGGTTGGGAAAGTGTCGAAGCGTAGGCCCGGAGCGCGGGTTACCAGCCGAGCCGTGAGGTCGGGATGCGATGTGCGAAAATGGCGGGATGATGAATGATGCGATGGTCGCGAGTGGTAACGGTGCTGACTGAGGTGCTACAGTGATGTACGCGTTGAGCAGGGATGCGGAGTAAGGAAAAGGGAATTTCCTTACACCTACCACAATCCACTAGATTCTTATTAGCTAAGCTTCAGTTCATAATAGTTCATTTAGAGCTGTTTCTCTGGAAGGAGAGGGCGTACAAACTTTGTAGAAAAGGCATGAAGCCGATATGATGGATGGCAGTTTTTTCCAAAGCAACACCTACCACAATGCAAGGATCATATACGTGACATTGTGTGCACCATGATACCACACACACAAGCTGTATTGCTGTTCTTGGTAATCAGCACCTCACAAACCGTGAGTGGCAGAAAGGGTCTTAACCCACACTGTTCCTTGCTGCAGCAAACCGGTCAATGTTGACATGTATGGCCCTTTGACTCTTATCGAATCACTGCTGTAGCAGGGAAACTCCAGCTGTCGCCACCTAAACGCGCATCTTGACGACGTTTTGAATGAGTGTGCCAAGGCCAGGCAGTCCCTTGGCCATGATCTCAATCCGCGCTGGGTTGGAGGCGTGCTTGAATAGCGAGAGACCAAATGAGATGAGCTGTGGGGAAAAGGCAGACAGCATGGGAAGGGAGAGGCAAGTGGCATGGGAATCAGACAAGGAGCGTGGCCAAGTGGAAGGGGTACTATGACTGTTTGTTCCAGAATGAACTGGGAGACTAAGGACAGGAAGGAGGATGGCAGGAAGGAGGAGCGCACAGGAAGTAATTCATCAAGCATTTCCGTTTGAAAGTAAAGGGAGGATGACGGGCAGCATACCTCCATGATGTTGAGGCGAGAGGAGAGGAAGCCATGCCACTGGTAGGGCGTGAGGTCAAAGAAGGCGTCAAAGAACCGCCGGTTGCCTGCTAGGTCCAGCTGTGATGGGGAGGGGGGTGAGGGGAGAAGGGCGGGGAGGGGAAGGTGTGCGTGAGAATTCAGCTCAAAGGAGAGTCAGCGTGACAGGAGGAGCAGGAGGGAACAGAGGGGAACAGAAGAAGTTTTGAAACCTTGTTGGGAAGTTGGAGGGCCAATCCTGAAGAAACATCCACCTTGAGCAGCACAGCACCTACCCGGAGCAGCACAGCACCTACCCGGAGCAGCACAGCACCCACCCGGAGCAGCACGTCCATGCCGAAGCAGAAGAACTGCGCTGCTCCTTGCGCCACAGCGGCCACACGTCCTCCCACACGCTTGCTGACAAGCTGTCGCCGCCCCTCCGCTCGCCCTGCTCCCGCCCCTCCCGCTCCAGCTGCTTCACTATTGCCGCCGCCACCACTGGCGCTGCTGCAGTGTCCGTGCCACCATGTAGCCTGGGAAAGAGTGACCAAAGGGGGGAATTTCGATAAAGAGGAGACTTTGAGACGTCTCAAACGCAGACACGCTGTCACTCCCCTCTGCTCGCCCTGCTCCCAGCCCCTCCCGCTCCAGCTGCTTCACTATTGCTGCTGCCACCACTGGCGCTGCTGCCAGCGAGCGCGCCACCATGTAGGCCTGGGAGAGGAGGAGGGGGGGCAAAGGGGGGAATAGCTTGAGTTGACTTGAGATGGAAGGGAGGGGCACAGACAAGGAGGGTGTTACAGATTGAAACGGGGTAAGTGAAGATGACTCATGGGCCTGCTGGGAGCGAGTGAGCCACCATGTAGCTTGGAGAAGGGAAATTTAGAGAAAAGGGGAACATAGAGGGAAAGATGGGGCAGAGGTGCAGGGTGGAGCATGGTGGTGCAAGAGTAGGGATGGAGCATGGTGGTGCGAGATTAGGGATGCAGCATGGTCGTACCAGTGGAGGGGTGGACCATGCCCGCTGTGCCTCCTATCCCCAGCACACGTTGCGGCATGTCTGGCAGCACACCTCCCATGGGGATCAGGCAATATCTGCACAGCGCACGCCAAGTAGGAATGACATGCACACATAGTAGAGGTGGTATGTACACATAGATGACTTATGAGCCCTTGGGAATCAAGCAGTACCTGCGTAGTGCATGCCGCGTAGCTTTGGCATGGACGCATAGGGATGAGGCGAGGGTGGTTTCGGGCTACTTGAATGCGGACGGAGATATGATGAATTGATGGGGAAAGAGTGGATAGGCCAGGGAAGGGTGCAGAAGGGTGCAGAAGGGGTGCGGAAGTGGTGAGGAAGCGGTGGGGAAGTGGTGGGGAAGCGGTGGGGAAGCGGTGGGGAGCGGGTGGGTGGTGAAGGGGTGGGGAAATAGTGAGGAAGCGGTGGAAAGGGGTGGGGAAGGGCTGGGGAAGGGCTTCAGTTTAGTCTGGCTGTTCCATTCAGCGAGCTACAGGAGACACCACGTTCGAACACAGCAAGTGCACCCCTGCGTTTCCACTGGTAAACTACATGAACCATGCGCTGCTTGCGTGAAGACACTCTGAAGAATTCCAATTGAGTGTTCTTACTGACCAATCCCATAGAAATAGCCAGTCATGGGCCCAGCCGCTGCAAGCTCCCCACCACTCACTCTTGCTCGGTGATGGCGTTCACTTTGATGCCCAGGTGCGCCAGGCGCTTCTCCAGGCGCCTTTGGATCTCGTCAAACGCCACGGCTGGCCGCGCCACTAGCGACGTCTCCTCTGCACGGCATGGAGCAACATGGCGCGGGAAGACGGGTGGAGGGGCGGACGAGCAAACATGTGGTTTCTGGTTTGATTTGAAGGTAAAGCGGGGACATGCATATGCTCAGATAGTCATTCGGGGGTGGTAGAATCAGGCAGCTTTGCAGGGGACAAGACAAGAACAGCGTCGCGGGCTTAGAAGGCTGGCAGTGGGCGAGAGGGGTATGGCGTAGAGGGAAGCGATTTCTAGGTTCACTTAAAAGTCACCTATGGCGTAGAGTTTTTTGAGGAAGGTGAGTTTTTTGAGTCAGTTCCAAAGGCGTACCTAGAGAGATGGTGGTCCGGGAGAGGGACATGACGTGGAGGAAAGTAATCTCTAGGGTACACTTAAAGTCACCTATGGTGTAGAGGAATCCGAGTCTGACTTAAAGGCGTACCTAGAAAGACGGTGGTCGGGGAGAGGGGCATGGCGTAGAGGAAGGTGGGGAGGTCGGCGTTGCTCTTCTGCATGGGCGTCCCCGGGGCGAGATGCGAGTCCCGCCAGTCCATGAACACCATCTGATCCAGCGCGAACGGATGTGAGTCCACCTGAGGCAAGAAGCAGGGAGGAATGCGACGGACAGAGAGGGGCACACTTCTCGTGTGAGTGAGTCCTGCCAGTCCATGAACACCATCTGGTCCAGCGCGAACGGATGTGAGTCCACGTGATTCAGTGAGCAGGGCGGAAGGGAAAGAATAAACAGGGGCGCTTTTCGTGTAAGTGAGTTACGCCAGTCCATGAAGACCATCTGGTCCAGCGCGAACGGATGTGAGTCCACCTGAGGCAACGAGCAGGAAGAAGTGCGCGAGCACGTTTGGTGGGAGAAAAGCCAGTATCGCCCTTTTTGTCCTGCGTGCACGAGTTCCTTCCACCTGTGCCTGATCACCCTTCGCTTTACGTTGTTTTTAGTTGGGTTGGGAAGCCAGATTCACTTTCCATTCATCTTCCTAATCAGAAAACGGTCTTTGCTGAACACGCGTTCAAAAGAAATACCCTAATGTGCGATTTCGTGGCACTTGCAACTTTTCTCTTGCCAAATCTTATCGTTATTTTCTCTCCTTTTCGTACTGTTCATTCCGCAGCCCGTAAGCATTCGCACCCACACATACCTCGGCAACGATTCCCCCACGCGGCCTGGTAGCCCGGGTTGTACGGCTGCGAGTACCTGCACGAGGCGTCGCGAGAAGCCTGTGGCGTCCGCACCAGCGCCGCTCTAATCTCCGTGCCGTCGCTGCATCGCAACCACCGAGTTATCTGCTGTGTGCTCCACGCTGTCCACCTGCGATGCCAAGAATAAACTCAGACCTCAATGTTTGCCAACTTGGCTCCAACTTAGGTAGAAAACTACTTTACACGAACTTCATTTTCTTGAAAACATTGCAATGTAGCTACACGCGGCTTGCTTGGGAGTACGTACCTTAGCTGTGTGGAAGGTGACCCCATTCTTGATGCATTGCGACGCCATCTTCATCTTTAGTGCTCGCCGGCTCACCCTCCCGTACGGCCGGTCCAGATACTTCTGCTTGCCGTCGTCTAAATACACCACGGCTTTTTGCCAAAACGTAATCTAGACAGTCCGTCAGGTCTAGCGCCTCGAATTCGTCGACCCACACGCCGTAGTTATTTGGCCACATGGACTCGGGAGCAGGGTCCACGCAGCATACTTTCATGCCGTGCGACGCTACTTGCTGTGCGACGGATAAGCCGGCGGGACCGGCGCCGACGACGATCAGGTCAAGTGTGCCGGCGGTATCTTCGGGATTGTAAGCTGGGAAGGAAATATCGAGCTTCTCAATTTTGATCTCTGGCACAAGATCTAAGAGAGAGGGTGGGTTGTCGGCAACGGCGGGAGAAGCGGCGACAGCGCAGGTAGTATGGCGGGGACTGGAAGCATCAGAACGAACTTGGCCCTTAGTTAAGGAATGCGTGACGGTACTTGAACTGCTTCGGAGACCGACTTTCGCAGAGAGGTTCTGACTGGAAAAACGAGCTGAGTTACTTGGAGGTTTGCGATTGGATGACCTAGACCGTGACGTGCTACTTAATTTAGCGAACTGAGATGTCGCTTGAGTTGGAACGCGTACGGTTTGCCATCCCTCAGAACGATCAGCCGACCAAGTGGAAATCAGTGTGATATTTTTTTGCTATAGAAGACGAGGACGCTACTATCCTGATAACTACTGATAGGTCGACCCCTTACTTCAAACTCAACGACCCCTATCAGTAATAAGATATGCGTGAGAGATTCCTCACGGTGCAGCACTTGATAAAAGGATTGTCATAAACATTCAGCAAGGTGATGGAAGCAAGCTTTCCTTTCTTAGATGGTTGTCACTGGTAGTTTGGTGGGGCGAGCAGATTCAGACTAGAGTAGAGTACAATATCACCCGCACACACAGGTTTGAGACGATTCCGAATGGCTGGGCTTGGCCGACGCATCCCGCGAATCCCAAGGGCAGTGTGAAGTGAAGAAAATGCGTGGCGATGCGTTGACGTGGCAAATCGAGGCCATTGAAGTTGGTCGGATGAATGAATGGGCGGGAAACCACCTGTGTGGTGGCACGTGTCAACTCTGAGGACAGACCTGAGATGGTTGTGGTCTGGGAAGTGTATGCTCGGGTAACGACCTTCGTCGGAAGGTATGGCAAGGGGACAGAAAAGTCGCACAGGTTCGGCAGCGTCGAACACTTGCAGAACAGATGGGCTCCCTGTTCATCGGTCACTAAAATAGCTTCGACAATCGCATCGCAACCATCCGTTCTGGCTGAGGTGACGTGGGCACTCTGCAAAACTCGATACAGTACAGAGAGCATTTCAGAAGTACTGGTACGTTATATGAGCAACCCCTTGATAATGTTCAGCCATTAGGAATAATTTGAGTAACACATGCATTAAAGTAGGATGTGAAACATTATATAATACAATACATATGAAAAATACATTTGACTTCCTTTACTTGGGCATGGTAAGCCTGGGCCTCACCCCAATCACACCAGCTCTTGCATCCCTGTAAGAGTACCTGAATGGGAACAAAAATTACAGCAAACGCTAACAAGATCTAAGGCCAGCATTCACATGAGAGATGTACCGTAAGTGCTTCAAGTATGCAAAACAAGAAACAAGCTGGGTACCTTGCTTCATGGAGAAATCTCTTCACCGCCATTGGCAAATTCGGCTGCCCCCCACTGCTGTGCCGCCCCACACCTGCAAGCAGCATATAGTTGTTGGGGACAAGAAAGCACACATCAGTATGGAGAAGCCTGAAGAATTTGAAGTGACCCGTTCATACCTGTCCAAGCGCCTTGCACGTGCATGCATTTACAAGCATCAGCTCAGGAATAAAACCCAACATGTAAATCAGGCTGTTGCAGCTGCACAGCAACCTCGCCAATCAACATCCAAGCACCATTATTCTGGCACTCACCAGTGATGACCATCAGCTCAGGCCGAGCTGACGACAGCACCTTAGCTGGGAGAACCACACCACTGCTCCGCCACACCTGCTCTTCTGCTGTCACCTGCTCTTCTGCTGCACCAATGCTGCTCCTCCCTGTCTGCTCTTCTACAGACGCTCCCTTGCTGCAGGCATTCTCCTGCACACTCACACCCCGCCTGCCCTTCCAGCTGCCTCAACCTCCCCTCCAGCGCGGGATACAGCCTCCCCCGGTAAGAGCACGTGCAGATCCAGCTCCCACAAGGACCGCCCCCTGTTCCTGTGCGCCAGAATCTTCCCAGCAGCTTTCCGTGTGGAGGCTCTCTGCCCGCTCCTTCTCCTCATCTTGACGCGTGGGAGAGTTGCCGGGCAGCTGCGTGGTCGCCCCTGTCGTTATGCTCGGGCAGCTTGTCCCGCGAGCCGTGCGGTGTGCTCTGAAAAGGAGCAGGAAAAGAGGGGACGGTGTGAGAAGTGAGCAACGGGAAACGAAAATCGATTGGTGGGGATGAGATGAGATGAGATCAGATGAGAGGAGAGGAGAGGAGAGGAGAGGAGAGGAGAGGAGAGGAGAGGAGAGGAGAGGAGAGGAGAGGAAAGCAACGGAAAGGCGAGGACAGGGGAGGAAAGAATGCAGCATGAAGCAAGGAGAGCGGAGACGGAGAGGAAACAAGGATGTGAGCCTGCTATCGCCTCTCCCTCTTGCTGCTATCACCGCTCTCTCACCCTTGATGCTGCTATCACCGCTCTCTCACCTTGATGCTGCTAAAGCCTCTGCTCGGAACGTCCGGAAGACATCCACGTCATCACAGTCACCATCCACATCATCATGACCATCAGCCTCCCTCGGCTTCCCGCCTTCCTCCTCCATCTCTCCCGCCCCTCCTATCCGCCTCGTCCCCCACACCCGCTCCCGCTACCCTTTCACCACGTTCCTCCCATGGCCCCCTCTCCCCCCATTCCCACCCCATTCCCCCATCGCTCCCTCTCTCCCCCCATATCCGCAAGTATTGCTTCCGCGGCTGCTCGCTCCCCCCCCACCGCCGCCAGCACCCCTTCCACCACCTCCCTGTCCGCCCATCCGAATCTTCGCAGAAGCTCACTCGTTACGGCCTCTCTGCACGCCGCCGCCCCCGGGGACCCCGCCCCTGGCGACGCGGCAGCAGACGAGTTTCGGGACGTCTCGAAACTCGCTGGCGACGCGAGAGTGGAAGGCGGCTGCTCCCGAGGAGCACGCTCGCATGTCGCTGCTAATACCGGAGTGTGACAATAGCGAGGAGAATTTCCTTTGGCCGTACTCGCGGCGGCAGCGGGGCTATTGGTTTCGAACTCCAAGGAGCGAACCGTTTTCCGAAGCTTCTTCGAAGCTCGTCAGTAATCGAGGAAACTCGGTGGCTGAAGTGACGAGCGGGGCGGGTGATGCTGCTAGCGGAATGCGCGGGATGGGACACGACACGCGATGCGCGGAATTCGCGGGGGCATCGGCGGGAAGAGAGTGCGCAAGGGGGGAGGACTGCGCCATTGCAGCGGACCACCCCACGCGCTCAAACTTCTCCCCCCGCTTGCCGCGCTTTCCCGCACCCCACTGTTCCCCAGCCAAAGGCATCCCGTGTTGCAGGTGGTTAGCTAACCACGACCTAAAGGGACCTACGTCGACCTAAGAAGAAATCGGTGTGACTAGCAGTGACTAAGGGGGAGTAAGGACCTAAGAAGAATATGAGCTACTTGTGTTGGGGCGGTAGATGAAGGAACACGGCAGCGGCGGAACCTATGGTGAGAAACGGAGAGAACAAGAGGGAGCGTGCGGATGTGGAGAAGATCAGGGCTGAAATGTCGAGATTTGAAGTGAAGTGAAGGGAAGTCACGCCGGGTCAAAGGCGCGTCCAAGGAAGTCTGAAATTCGAACTCGAGGCGCGTTCGGTGCATGGTTGGATTTGGAAATTGAGCCGAGTTCAAGTCAGCTCGAAATTAGGCGCGGCGCGAGGGCGAAATCAGAAATCATTTTGCTTATAACTTGCTTTGTGTTTTCTGTTTTTGTATGCCTTCTTCAATGAAATTACTTGAACTTTCTGCCTTGACGTTTTCCAGCAAATTCCTTCACACAGTTGAGGCCAGAGCTTCATATGCTTGTTACTAAGACTCTAAATAGTCTTCATAGTCTAGACTAAAGGCTGCGCACGTACAAGAGCTGGTATCAGAGCTGGTTTAAGGCGTGTTCTAGCGTTTTGAGGATAGGCGGAATATACTAAGTATGACGGACGATCATACTGAGGCGAGTTCGGGCTCCTCTGTGAGCATTGGAGGCTCAGAACTACAGGCCATCCTAACAGCGCTAGCACAAGCTAAATTGACGGCGAAGCCAACGATTGGGCTTAGCGAGGCCCAACGGTTCCATGGAGAAAATTATAGCACGTGGCGACTCAAGTTCATTCGTAGAGCGGAGGAAGTCGATCTCTGGCCATACTATCATCCCGACAAGGAGACGGGAGAGGGCATCCCACCATCTGCAAAAGAAAAACCAGAAGAAAATGCGTCATTCAAAAAAGGAGTAAGCAAGCCTTTTTTCAATTGTGCCATTCGGTTTCTGACAGCATTGCAGTGGGGCTGGATCAATTTGCGGGAGAGGAGAACTCTGCCGAACGAGCCTGGGAGTACATGGAAGCTGCTTACCTTGGGCTTACGGATACGAACAAAGCAGCCATTCGGAAGAAACTCCTTCTATTGAGTATGGAGCCGGGAGAGAGGGTCATTGACTACATGAATCGAGCGAAGGGGTACAATGACGACCTCAAGGCTATGGGGGCAGCTGAAACTGAAGGAGAAATGATGGGGTACATCATTACTGGGCTGCCCAAGGAGTGGGAAGCAGAGAGGGCTCCTAACCTGCAACCCACCCGTGAATATGACCAAGCTGTTGGAGACGCTCCAAGCTCTGGAGCGGGTGAAAGCTGATCGGCTCAGGAAGGAGGTTAGCTTGAATGGAATGGGACCAGCCACTCATGCCATGGTAAACGCAGCAGCTACAGGGAAAGGATATGGAGGATTCGGGGCGTGTTTTCAGTGTGGAAAGAAGGGTCATAAGCAGATAGACTGCTATGACAACCCAAGGAGCAGAAATTTTAAAGGGAAATGGAGCGGTCTGCAGTAGAAGGGGCTGCAGAACGGATGGCAGAGAGAGGGGGAGGTTCGAGGTGATAACAAGATGCAGAGAGGCGGATTTTCAGGGGTATGTCACTATTG